TAAGCTATCTCACACACGTTGAGACAATCCAAAAACACTAGGCTATGCATCGTTTACCCGGGTGATGGGGAGGGGGGGGGGTTATCGTTTGTGGTCAAACAAAGCCGTGTAGCGATTAGGTGTTGGAATAGTGGCGACGACGGTGGTCGTGTGTGGCGGCTATATCAACGGGGACGGAGTCGAAAGTTTTTGCTCGCTGAAAGTTCGGCAGATTACAAAGTTCCTTTGGCCGTGCGCGCATTAGACCACCGACGAGACGGGGCTTCTGAACGGGTCTTTGGGAATCGATAAGCGAGGGAGGGCAAAAGCTTTTTAACATAATATGCTTCTATAATATGAGCGTGTGTGAGCGCACGCAAATTTTCGGTCATTATTTGCGGGCACACGTGACAGCGCACGACGATACGCCGGTACTTTGCACTTTATGTTTATACATACATCATAGGTATAGTAAAATAATACACAGGCTATATTTGCATTATAAAAAGTAAAAACTACTCTTTTCAAACATCTACGCGCGGCCTCTGGATCGTCTACGTCAGCCCCGGGGGTGTAGTCTACCGTTTTTTGTGTTCATGAAAATTGTTCTTTCATTTTTTTCCCCTCTCATTCCAAGACAAGGCGCTATCCGGAAAATGCGCTAAAAACAAACCGCTTACCGCTTCATCCTTTTGGGCATGACCCGGCATATTGCAACGTCAAAAACTTGATCATAAGTCCGGCATATGTCTAGCAGCTGTTATTGTGAGTTAGCCCGGAAAGGTCATATTAGCCTGAGAAATAAGATGTAAGCATTATTCCGCATAAGTCAGAAAATTGTTTTTACATTTTTTTAAAAAAACATTGATTAATTTGAAAGTGGTTTTATCCGAAAGGACTAGTACAGTAGATTATAGGCATAATGGAATCAAAGCATAGAGAGGACGGAGAGGTTACAGGTCTACAGGAATTATTATAAATAAAAGTGATAAAATAAAATCACTTTCAAACAATTTGATGCTTATTTAATACTTTGCTGGTTTACACTGTGCTTGGTTTGGACTGTACTGGCTTGAAAATACTAACTACTGTAGTGGTACGTGCGAAGTGAGCGTTTTTTAAAAACGAGTTCTTCATCATTCATTTGTCAATGATACTTTTTATTATCCACACAATGTAAATGTTCTATAGAGTTTTTCTTTAATTTTTAAAGATGTCGAAAAATATAACTAATAATTAAAATATTTTCAGTTAGTCTCTTGAAATATTCTTTAATAATCATTTGTGTATTCTTTTGATTCTCACCTCTTAAAATACTCATCAATAAAACAGCAAATTAAATATTTTATTTTTCTAATTAGAATATAAAAATTAACGTATGATAGTTATGTCATACTTTTCTAATAGCTTTGTTATTCAATAGTATCACCAAGACAACAATACATACCAACACATACCTATAATTATATTATGTAATTGGTTATATCAATGTCGACTGTTTTAAAATTACACAAATGTTCCTAAAATAAAGAGGAAATTGTTTTTATAAAAAGTCGTTTTATATCCGCCGAATAAATTGTGATAAATATTTATATCCTTAACAAGACTCCATTAACGCACAGTCGCAGAGTCAAATTAACAATTGAAGATTAATTAAGTCGTAAATTTTGTTCGAAAACAACTCGAGAACTTTTGCGAATAAACTCGAAGTACATGTCGGACTTATCAAATTTGAAATTTCGTTAGCGAATCTCTTAATTACATTTTAATGTGTAATTTAAAAAGAATAAAAAATGTTTTTTCTCCGTCAAAGGTGAAATTAGCTCGTGTTTCAAAAAATTATATTAAAAAATGTATTGTCCTTGGAAAGTTTTTTTTTTTTTTGAAGCGTGCAGCTAATTAATGGCAAAAACTCGGATCAAAGGTAAAATTAGTTCACTTACCGGGAAATAAAACATAGCAATAAAATATGTTCATTTGATTCGTGTTATTACATTATTGTTTTTTAGTATTTTCATCGAGCACTTTGGCGTTTAGGAGAAAACAATATTTTGTATGCGGTACTATGGAGTAACCAAATAATATATGCTTTTTGCAATAAGTTAATTACTGTTAAAACTTAACATTTCATTCGAATGTGAACTCTTGACGTAATATGTTTTACAAAATTTCCCACAATCGATTTTATGCTAAACGGAAGTATGTTAATGCGATTAAACCAACCGACCCAAAAGTATTTGTACCTGAATGGGTTTACAAAATGTTTAATAAACCAATCTGTAGCTACACGACTAACTATTATTATCGCATTTGGCTTGTCGAATACAATATCAGGTATTGTAAGGAGATATCTTAACTATTGTTTTCAGATATTGATTTACAAAATAACAGTATTAAATAATATTTGCATTGTTTATTTTTATTCGAGCTGCAAATTTATTTAATTTATTTCATAATAAACAATTTTACTAACGGCTACAACTATATTTGTTGCATATGTATTGATTTAAACAGACACTTAATATGTGTACCAAATTGTACAGGTTCGGTTATAAGTATTTTTTATAAATATAGTTTTACTCGTTCTCTGCATCAACTCATCTGTCGACATATTTTCTTTGCCATTATTTATTTCTTATAATTTCTATGTCATTCAGCACTCCATCCATCTATCTCTGCCTGAGGCGTCAGAGTGGTCTGTAGCTCTTCCAGTCAATTTTACCCTTTTTCGGATCATTTATTCTTAGACACGCCATACGTCATGTCAATGTCCTTACCTGACTTGATTACCTTCTATCTAGAATAGCTGTGAGTGCCAAATCTTTCTTTAATCTGCCGGGGTGTAAGCCACTTGTGTTTGAAAAGATGTTTCCCAGACAAAAGATCAGAGCTTGAAATAAAAACTTATATGTATTAAAACTTAAACGTTTCGTATACAAAAACGACACTAAAGTAGCGCGTTTACTTTAAACGAATAATAATATATAATATGCCATCGAAACAATAACGAATCGTCGTCGTCATGCATAACGTTTGGCCAGAACATATTATAATTAAGACTAACTATCATCATAAATCGCAAGGAGATTAGAGATCAGAAACAGAAATAATCCCTATTCAGGAGCCAGCAGGCTAAAGCATGTTCCATAATTTATAATTTTAGCCATTAGGCTTTAAGTCACAGTCAACTTTTATATAAAAACGTTTACAAAATGTTAGCCCTTGTCGATTATTTGACTTGTTTGTTATCATCAACTGAGAACGATTTATCGAATAATAACTCTGATGTAATAGTTGAAAATAGTGACGAGCACAATTCGTTTTTTTTTGGAATCACCCTTTCACAGCGTTACACAAAATATCCAAGAGGGTTACATTATAATGTTTTATCGTCCCTATTATAATACGTCAAGACGAGGAGCTTGCTTTTTTTGGAAATTGAATCGTTCCGAGTGCCTGTCATTAACGCGGAGAGTGTACTTTAGTATAATATATTATTACTATTATTAAATATATCCACTCTCGTTGTGCTTGTAAGTAAGCACTAGCACGACGGTAAAGGCACCCGGGTTGTGCGAATTGTTGTTTTTGTTTTTGATCCATAAGAAGATGTCCATTGGCAGTGTTCAACGTAAATGACCCTGTCGGCTTCGGGGCCACGCTAAGTTTGCCATGCCATTCACTTCCGGTGATCATGATTAACGTCAAAAGTTGTTGGCTGCTCACAAGTTTCGACACAACAATGGTACGTGCAATTCCGAGGAATTACTTTTGAAATAATTTTCCGATGAATTAGCGTAAGTCGTCGGGACCATTAGAACGATGGAGCTGAGTTTTTTTTTTTTTTAATACCGCAGTAAGTTAAGAAATATAAAATACCGGCGTCGTCGCCGTTCGGCTTAATCGTCTATCGTTTATTTTGGCCTAAGAAAAACCGAAGAAAATGTTTAAAACGTCAGCCCGGTGTATAAGGATTAATAATGTTTTTTAGTCGGCTCGACTAGGCAATATTACTCACAAAGCAAACCAACTGTATCACCTTAAATGCCGTACGCACGTCTCTCAGGTATATCACGAATATCTTTTACTGGGAGAATTTCGGGTCGTATTTATCAACCAAACTATTTAATATTTGATTAAAAAATTAAACATCGTCGTTGATAGATTTCCCAATGAGTGTATTACCTCAATTAACACAGTAAAGATTATGACAAATTGAAGGATAACCGGCCTTATAAAAACTGTAGTAGTTATAAGCAGTAAAACTAGGCGTATTAAGGTATGTGTTTTTTAAGGTAAGTAATTGCCAACGCTGGGTGTTAATTATCACTTGTACATTCTTCAGATTAAAGTTTAGGGTAGATTTTAGGAATGTAGGAAAAGGGACTTATCATGAATCGTAAAGAAATTACTTCCTTAAAACCATACATTAAGGTACTGCAGATTCATAAGTGCTAGTGAGCCTAATCACATCGTTCCATGTAATTGGTGGCTGGGTGTGTTCACTTTAATGAAACAAGGTTTCTAAATGATTAACCTTTCAAACGGTTACACAAGTTACAAATAATAAGATGTCTGAATTTATGTTAAATTTAAAATTCCGATTTAGGGATGCTCAGTACTATGAGTTTCATAGTCTGATTTTTCTTTTGAAGTGCTTTGGAAAGTTAACACAGTGAACAGTGAAAGTTGTGCTTTCACTGATCAACTACATAACACCTATAAGATAGCTGCAGATCAAAACTTCAACCCTTATCTTATAGAATTTGAGAGCGAAAATCTCGATCTGTTCACTCGACTTAAGGGAGATTTCGAAGTTAACTGAGGTTATGACAAAGGCAACAGGGTCCTTCTATACAATAACATTTTCCTGCCCAAGATTCACAACGATGTGTTATTCTGGTACCAAGTCACCAGCACCAGACGGGGTATAAAGATACTTGGATAAATTCAAAGAAAAGCTCTATTGAACAGGTGTTATGTCCCTCAATCTTATGACAAGTTTCACAGCCGAAGTCGAAATGTCTAAAAAACTCGTTCCTCAGGACAGGAAAAGAGTTCTTAAAGAACATCTGGGGAACGAATATTGCATCAAATGGCAGGAGAGATGGGACACGTGTCCAACGAGTAGATGGATCTATATCTTATTCCCCAGCTTCATGTGCAGGCTCTCTTTTCCACTTTATTTAAGTCATTATGTAGTTTAAGTCCTCAACGGTCATGGTGACTTTAAGAAGAAACTACAATCAAAGTAAATTTTTAGCCAATTGCTTTTTTTAAAAATTTTAGTTCACTATTATACACTATAATATAATGTACGTTATTCAAATTGTATTACTGTATTAAATTTCATCAATTGTAACCGTTGAAACATTTTAGAGTACCATGTTAACATTTTCAAAAAAATAATATTTCGGCTAGAAGTTTTTCATTCCAAACTTTCGGCATAGTCAATAGTGAGGCCGTATAAATTACTTTTCCTTTGAAATTCACTAATGTAAACATCAGATATATTATGAGCGAATCGTAAAAAATAAAAAAAAAACCAGCTGTGAATATAATAAAATAGGTACCTACACAGTAAAAAACTATTAAGTTTCGAAATATTCAGTCAAAATATGTATCCATCTACAATTTTTAAAAAGACCATTTTCTAACGTTAGTTTGAAAAGCCGAACGAGTTACTAGTGTTGTCTTAGAAAATCTAACGGTCCACTAATTTAAGTAAGTATAACTATCAAACTCCAAAAGTTTTTATTTATTACGCTTAAACTATAAAGTAGACATGATCTGATAGAAATTTTTTCCATACCGATCAAACGATTATAAAAAATGGCGGACAAATTAAATAATTCCTACAATCAATTTACTTTTTTCAATAAAAATCGATAACGTATCCGAGAAAAAATCGATTATCGTTAGCGATATAATCGATATTGGATATTGGTTCACACTAGTGATGGGAAAATGCGGATTTTGCGAAGTTCAAAAAACCGGAGTTTTAAACTTCGAAATTCTAAATCCGAAGTTGTTGTATTCGAACTTCAAAATCCGGATTTCGAAGTTTTCGTTATAAATCCGGATTTCAAAGTTCTCGTTATAAATCCGGATTTCGAAGTTTTCATTATAAATCCGGATTTCGGTGTTTTCATTATAAATTCGTAGATTGGATTTCAATTTTTTTACAATAATAAATAAATTATATTTGTTAATTATTTAGTATTATGTACAACGCGTTTATGTAGTGTACAAAAAAATATTTAACTATTGAATTGGTAAATTAGGTATCTGTTTTTATAGTTATAAGAACATTATGTATAAACACGATTTACAAGTCTCAATGACACTTTTATAATAGATTAGAGCAATAAGTTGTAATAATATGAAAAATACACAACACAATATATATACATAAATTAGGAAAAATAATAAGTCAATCTGGAATTGTATATGTCTTAAATCTAAATAAATAATAATAATACTAATAATGTTTTTGATATAAATAGTTAAACAGTAGAACCAATTACATTATATAAAATTGTAGTAAATTTTCGGTTGTTTTTAAAGTAATTGACATTTTAAATAAAATGTGCTACAGTTGATTGGTAAATTATTCTTGTAATAAAATTATTTTTTACTTTTTAGTTCACTTTTTACTATTTTTTAGAAAAGTATGTTTTTAAAAACAAAGTTTTATTTATTTATTTATTTTATTTTTTACTTTTTAGTCCTATTAAAGGTACTTAATAATTGGTGAATAGATTACTAAATTCATTTTAGAAGATTTGAAAAAAAAAAAATTTATTTTAGTGAAATGGCCGCCATATTTGACCCCCCGGCATTTGCGACCTGGATGTCTAGGTCCCAATATTTTGACGGAACATTGTATTATCATCCAAAATGAGTGTCTAGGTTAAATTTCAGCCTATATGATATCAGGAAGTGGGTTAAATTAATTTTGCAAGATTTGAAAATTATCCGTACAAACGTACAGACGTACGGACGTACGTACGTGTTAGCGAGTTAAAGAAAAGCATGTAAAAACTACTCAAATATAGCTTACAATTTTTAAATAGGTAATTGTTTTCAATATATCACAAATAGTGAACAGTAATACAGCATACTTACTTTGTATTTAAGCTAGATTACATATATGAAACTTAAAGTTCATTAGAAACATATAACTTAGGGTAATTTAGTTGAAGGGGTCCGATAATAGTATTTCATAGAGGATTAAAAGTCAACTAATTTGAACAATTTGGTCATCTTGTACTGCTGAATTAGTAATTACAAAATGGCTTTTTAAATTTTAAAATCGGTAATTTGGCTTTTTATTTAAACCCAGGTTACGGTTTCTTAAGTTCAAATTTTGAAACCGGATTTGTCATTAAACCCGGATTCTTCGTGAAATCCGGAGTCTTCGTGAAATCCGGATTCTTCGTAAAATCCGGATTTTTTTCATTGAACTTCGAAAACCGAAAACCGGATTTTAAGAAAATCCGGATTTATTTCCCATCACTAGTTCACACCGGCCCTTTAAATAAGTTACATTTTTAGCTTATACATTGGTCTACTGCACTGTTCTGTAAAACTCTTGTACAGTAATTAGGATTCTTTATTACATTTTATTTATTTACATTTTATTTTATCAGACCTTAACAACGATTTAAAACAAACGTTTTTGGTATATATTTTTTTTTAAATTAAAAATACTTACGCTGTGATACAGTCAATCTACGATAGAGAAAAACTGTATTATATGAAATTCAAAAGTTATTATTAAAATGGTTATAGATCAGTCAAATTGTTCGGTAACTATGTACGTTGGTATTTTAGTTAAATGAGTAACGTATGCTTCTCCCCCCCCCCCCAAAAAAAAAATCATACAAAATCAAGGGGATTTTGTATGTACATTATTTATCTACATGTTTCCTATTGGATAAGATGTACATACTAGATATTTGTATACTTTTTTAATGATATAAATGAATATAACTTTAATTCTAAGGTTTTCAAAAACTGATTTGACATTCTCCCTGAGATGTTATACTCTTTCCATTGTATAAGAAATATTTTTTATTAAAATCCAAAATGGTTCGAGTAATAAGCAACATGTATATTCAAGTTAAATTTTTTTCTTTAAATCTGACAAGGCGTGGCTGAAGTGTCCAGGCTTTCTGACGGTTAGGATAAGTTAGGTTAGGTTCGGGTATGTGCCTGAAAATTCAAACAAAACATTCATTAACAGAGTGCGGGTAATGAGTTGGGTCAGTTTCGTATACAGCTACAGCCATAGTAGATATACAAGTGCCAACTGCAATTTTGGACCAATAAAGAATATTTCAAGTTCAATTTCCGCCTTGCTATATGAAATTTAGCGGTCTAGGAAATACCTTAAGCCGAGTAAAAAAAAACATAAAAATATATATCAAACAATAAACAGCCTTGTTACACCAAAACTATCTCATCTCTGGTGTCGACTATGACAAGTATAAATTGATTGTATGTTGATTACTTTTTACAGATAAAAATGAAAATTATCTGTTTATTATTATTATTAGTCATTGTGAATGTTTGGACAAATGAATGTAATTATTTTATTTTAATAATTACATACTTAGGTAAGTTTTAAAAAAATTCAATATTTCATTATTTTTACAGTGGAATACATGGAGGAGGTGGTCATTACAAGTCAGCAACATTTTCTTTTATAAAAAATAGCGTTGTAATTTTTAAATTTCACTGTTTCTATACATATTTTTTTTGTTAAATTATGTATTATAGACACACTCATCAAGCAAGCTGTTAAGAAGGATGGTTGTATTGTAAATAATAAAAATATAGGAAGTAAGATTTATTTTAAAGTAATTTACTAGTATATATTTATGGCTTTTATTATAATACACTCTCTAAAGGGTAAAATGAGTAAACAGATGTAACAGTGAGAATAAAAATAATAATTTAAATCACAACATCAACAATAATAATAATAAAATTTCACAGTACCTAATAATAAAAGCTAAAAATTAATATTTTTAAGTATATTATGATAAAGTATTAAACATTATCATTGAAAAAATTGACATTGGACACTTGTTATAAGTTAAAGTATCACACGTTTCTTTATGTCCGTGTAAAATAACATTCACTTGATCACCACACCCATCTGTATGTAATACTAATTTCAGTAGATTTAAATTTACAGAAGTTATACATTTCATAAATTAAAGTTTGTTTTGTGGGTTGTCAAAGTTTAAGTTTAAGGCAATGTGTGGATTGAGGCATGCGTAATCAATGTTCAGCAAAGTCAAAATGTCCAATGAGTCAACAAAAGATAATTTATTGTTTATGTATTTTAAACCTGAGTCCTTAGATTAATTGTGTCATCGTTGTTGATCTCATTTCTGCGACTCAAACTAGATGGACATTATTTCACAGAAATATCTTGTTTAGATTTATTACTTGAATTACTCATATTTTAACTCGCAAGAAAATACAATATTAAACAACCTATATAGTAAAAACCGTAAGCTTAAATATATTTATATATTATTTTAGTCGTTTCGCCGGACATATTAACAAACAACGTGTTTATCGTCATGCTATCAGTCATGCTGATACAATTTTATATTTTCTTAAGAAGTTATTTGTAAATAAAAAATTTCAGCTTTTATTAAGTAATCAGAAAAGTTTTCTAATTTTATTTTATTTTAACATTTATTCTAGATGGATTGGAGCATGTCATTAAAACCGTGGTTTTCAAAGGAATATATTCACTAGGTAGTAATAATTATATAATAATAAAAAAAATACGATAATGATTTCTAGAATAAAAACATATCATACAATTTCGAATAACACAAATGCATCTCTATGTAAATTTATCAGTGATAAATTTAAGAAGTAAAATTAAAATTAAATCTTACTGAAAAAAATTACTACAATTATGTCTACATTATCTAATGATAATATTCTTTTCGTAAAAAAATTGATTACGTTTTATTTTATGTAATCGTGGAAATTACATTATACTCGAGTTACTAGTACAGATGTTTAATTTTTATCTCGAATAAAAATAATATCTCGATTAAAATAATAGAAAACTAAATCCAACACCATTAATTTATCTCATCTTCATTTCAGCAGTTATGAATTATTTGTTCGTTTTACCAAGTAATAAATTGTATTACTAATTATAGAAATATTTCTGTACATTTGTTTAATATACTTCAAGTAATCACTGTATTTTTTTTAGTTTCAGAACTTCCAAATGTTAAGTACATACCAGGTAATGATACATTTATACTTCATATTTGAAATATTTTACACATATTAATTATTTATTATTATGTTGGGAATAATATTATTAGTTTTAATCATAAAAAGCCAGTACAGTGAGGGCCGGGGCATAGTGGGGGCGGAGAGGTCATATGTCTACAGATTTTATTATAACTGAAAGTGATAAAATCACTTTTAAATAAACGCTTCGATGCGAATCTGTGGATTGTATGTTCAAACCAGTTATAGCGCTTTAGAAGATATCGTGGGACCAGCAATAATGTACTTAAAATGTAATTTTTAGTCTTGTGCAGGGTGGATACGATGAGGGTTGATCGTCTGTCTATAAAAATGTACTGTCATAGTTACCCATACATTGTAATTAACAATATAATGAAAATATATTCATTACCTGTTGACTGTTGATTCACTCACACATAGCAACCTAAAAACTGACTTCGGCCAAAGTGTAAATTTACCCTATTTTTGGTTTTTTTTCTTTATAAAAAAAAAATTTGACTACAGATTTTTGAGAAAAATGTATTGAAAAAGTGAAATAAAGAAAAAAAGTAAATCCCTTCTAGGGGAAAGGGTTTATGATTTTTTTTGGTTTGTTAATGTTTATCGATAGTGTTGTATTTGAAAAACAATTCATATAAATTTGGAATTTTTTCGACTATTTAAAAAAAAAATTATAGAGCATCGTATTTTTAAGTTGAAAAATTTGTAAATTTTTTGGGTGTTTTTTTCGATTTTGATGGGGAAGGGGTGATTTTTTAAATTTTATTGCCCACTTAAGTAGTTTTCAGGTATGATTTCTGATATATAGAGTTGCTTTACGAAGAAATCGGTTCGGCGGTTTACGAGATATCGTAGGTCCAGACACAAAAATAAAAAGTAAAAAATAAAACACATCATTGTAAAACCAACACCTTCTCAGCTCCGCACCGAAGCTAAAACACATCATTGTAAACACAATACCTTCTCAGCTCCGCATCGAAGCTAAAAATATGTACATTAAAATTAATTTTGTTTTGAACTTTAGGATATAAAAAATTCGAAAGGGATATGCAAAAAGAAATTAAAGATGAATTAAGTAATTATAAAAATGAAATTTTTAAGGGAGTATTTTTCGGACATTGCTAAAATACAATTTTATTAACCGTATCTAGAATCATTAAAAATTTGATATGTATTGTTATAGAAATAGATGCTACTAAAGTTTCACGCAAAGGTAATGACGCATTTTTTGTAAGTTTTAAATAACCTCACTAAGGATTGTTTATTAATTTTAATTTTGCTTTATTCTTCTAAATTTTATCAGCTCAAACAATAACTTCAATAAAATGAAATACTCATTGGAGAGTAGGAGTATTTGTCGAATTCGTTAAGGAGTTAGAAACTTTTCGCAAGAAAATAACAAAATTATGAATTAACAATTTCTTGGCTTGACCTTATAGGTTAACGAATGTTTGTAAAATTTAATACTTGCCTAGTGTAGATTTGTCTGTCTTTTTATGGTTTCGGATTCTTTAATTTGTATGTCACTTCACGAATATTTTCGCCATCTATATAGTGTTGCTTACAATAGTAATGACTAATGTGTAAAAGGTTCTTTGAATTTCAAGTATAAAATGAATAATTTCTTTGAGTTTTAACACTAATACTGGATGTAAGAAAATTTAGTTATAACATTGTTCTTTAAAATATAATGCAATTGTGTATTTGTATAACTAGTTTATTAATTTATCTATAGCTTTAATAATACTGTAATTTAATATTTTTTGTAGATTTTACGAACTCATCTTTTGAAGAACTTGAAAAAGAGAGAAGAAATCTTATTAAAAAAGCTTTAAGAAATATAATTAGCCAGGCATTAGGTAAATTAATACTTACAATTGTCACGGGTTTTGAAAATTTTGAAAATTGTTTCGATAATCGCATGTTACATAAATAGAAAACTTCTCCATTTTAGATTGAAACCTTGGGAGCTTATCATTTCGAAAAGTCTGAAACAAAGGATACCCTAATATCATAACAACATTAAAACAAAAAAAGAGGTAAAAATTCATAGAAAACAGAAGAAAAGACTATAGTAGGGGTGGTCACAACGAGGCTCGCGATCAGTTTCGTGCGACTCTTGAAACTTGAGTAAAATTAATAAATTTTCATTTCTTTATTTTATTAACATCTCTTAAAAAAAATGTGGCTCGCTTCGAATTAGTTTTATAAATTGCGGATCCCAAAATGAATGTTAGTGACCACCCCTGGACTATAGTATACAAAACAGGTGAAATAATTATTTGTAAAAATTAGATAATTTTCGTTTTTTAGACTTTTTAATGAATTATTACGTCTTTTTTTGTTTTTCTAAGTGTTTCTATGGAGATCCCAATTTTTTCAGAAAGCTGAAATATTTTACATAGGACAATGATTTGTAATCTCTTTTATATGGCCAATGATTTTATAAAAAAATGATAAAAACAAGTGCTAAAAAAAAAAATCCTTTTTACGACCATGACCCAAATAATCGAAAAAAATTGGAAACATTTTTATTAACAGACACGTAGTGAAATTTGCAAAAAATCTTTTGATGGTTTTGACAGTTCGTTGGTTGTTTGTGTTTTAAACTGATACTCCATATTAAGGTAAACCAAAAATATTTTTATTAAAATTATCTTTATTTCTCTCGTGTCGTTTTGTTCCTTGGCGTAACAAAATATTCAATTATACTCAGATTTTTAAAAAAAAGTTTTAGCAGTTGTGAGCATCTATTTTCCGAAATTGGTTTGTTATCTTCAAAGTTTTAAGTTCTAAGTTTATTATCAAATATTAATTTAAAAAAAGTACAAAATTATCAGTAGAAAAAGAGGAACAAACAACTAACAAGTAGTCTTAGATTGTAAAGTTTATAAAAGCATTAATAAACAAACCTTTTACACTACTCTTTAATTTTTTTTTTTAGAATGGAAAATATTTATCTTAATTCTTATTAAATAGGAAAAAAAATTGCTGTATTTAAATTACAAATTATTATTATTACAATATACCAAGGATAGAAATAATTTGAAGGGCATGGATATGTCTTATCCACGAAATTTAACCGCTACGAAAATGTGTAACCCTTATAAAGATTAGAGATAAGAGGTAAAATATAAGATATAAGAGACAACAGATTAGTAAAATAAGTCACAACGACTTTGTCTGGCATACTCGTACACTAGCTCACAGTGCATTAAAAATAACTAAATGTTTCCTTATTTTTTTTGTTAAAATTGTTAGTATTTTGTTTGACGTACAGTTATGGATTTTAGATGACGACGAGAGCAAGGGTTTGGTGATACCGGATATTCATGATAACTTCAGCACGTTAAGTATAACTGACACTACTGGACAAAGTAGTTTGGACCTTGGTGTGGCTAGTGCGAAAGATAAGTCGGAGTTGAATAAGGATGGAGACGGCGATTATTGTACGTATCATGTGTGTTAAAATTAACGACGAGCCTAAATTAAATGTTTTAGCTTCGATGCAAAGCGAGAAGGTATTGGTTTTACTCTGATGTGGGCTTTTTTTTTCGCTGTATACACTGTAACTTTTTTAATACTAGACCAATTCCTTCGAATAGCAACTCTATAAATCACAAATTTTGTCTAGTTTGTACTTTGGGGGGGTAAAAGTTGAAAAAATTTAAGTCTTCACAGACGAAAGTTGAAAAAACAAAAAAAAAACCGTACGAGTTTTTAAGTTAGAACTTTTACTGGCTATAGTATCAAGAAAAAGAGTCGGATCGAGTTGAAATGTTTAAGAAATATTTATTTGGTAAGCCCGCGCACGTCAGTTTTGTCAAATTCAAAATATACCCATTTCCCGCCCCCCTAGGGGGGGTACAAGTTTTTTTGTTTTTCGGAGTTTTTAGCCGTAATTTTAAAACTTTTGGGTTGAAAATTTGCCAGTAGTCGGAACTCATATGTACCCATAACATATTAAACGGGAAAAAAATTCGGCACTACAGTTTTTTTTTAATTGCCGGGAAACTGTGTTTTCGCAGATTATGTATATTTTAACAAAAACACTTAAAATCTTTAAAAAAAATTGATCAAATCATTAAAACAATTTTATTTATATCTATGCAGAATGATACTATTAGGTTTTGTGCTCAAGTACCACTCTTGACTTAAAGTTTACACAAATTCAACTTTTTTTTTTTTTTTAACTAAAAACCCAGTGTACCAGATGTGAGAAACGAACAGACACTAAAAACTATCAGTTGGTAACGTCTATCCGTGTTAGATTAGGTTAGGGTCCATGATCGGTATCATAATATTGTGTTTATTACATGATATCATAGGCGACTAAATCGTGTAACTGATTATAGTAGACACTCGATTTATTGGGGAAAAAACCTATCCGTGTACTTATTAAGACATTTAATGATTCTGATACGACAAAACCACTGTCGTTATCTCGTTATTTTATAGCCTGCGTTATATAACCTTACCGAAGGTTAACTATGAGTATTTAATGTCCAACTACCTGCAAATAATGAAGAGGACTGTTGTTTTTTGGATTCAGATTAAGTGTTGGTTTTTATGCAGTATACCGCCTCAAAATGTTTTTTTTATTACACAATTTTTTTAAAGGAAAACTTATGTTTTGTATATTGTTATACTGTTATTCATTTAAAGAGATTCACGCTTGATTGTTTAAATTGTCTAATATTAGATAATCTGCTTCGTGCTAATTTTATTTTTTTAGTTTATCAACTTGTAGCTCTAATTTTGTAAAAAATATTTCATTATTTTATTACTATGTACCATTACTATTAAGATAAATTTTAATAATAATTAAGTCATATATGATAATACTTTATTTTGTGACTAGATCAAATCTCGTGAACATTTAACATCATGATACTGCTCCTATGCTATTATTAAAAAAACACAATTTTTAAAAACTCCATAATAGGTTATTGTTAAATAACAGGCAACAGCCGACCGCTAGTGGCTATACATGTTAGTAATATTTAACTAATAAGTAATAAATGTAGGTAAAATTTATTGTTTTCTCCATCACAGTACCAGTATACGATTTATTTTAATTTAAATGTAAGAAAATCGATTTTTCTTTAGAAAATAACAAGATATTAATATACAGGATGAGGCAGTAAAACGGCGATTTTCTAATGTATTGAAATGGTAAAAACCCGTTTCACTATCCCACCCTTTACATTTTAAGGATCTATGAAAAGGTTTTTTTAGTTGCATTTTATTTTGTACATTGTCAATCTAGTAAAATAGAAGTATAATATAGCTTTGAAATAATATAATCTGTGAAGTATAAATAGTTGGTTTGAGATTGCTTTAATGGAAGTATATAATACATAAATATTAATTTTATTGAGAATAAGCGATTATAATTTAAACTATGGAGTACAAACGATTGAAACATGAATCGTCGACCATTCCAACAAAATATAACAAGACATTGTATATGTGTTATTTGGTCCACTAAGTTTTTGCAAAAAAAAAAAAACCAGTACAGTGGGGTCGGGGCATAGTGGGGACGGAGCATAGTTGGGTCGGGGCATATTGGGGACGGGGAGGTCACAGGTTTACAGGAATTTTTAAATCTGAAAGTGATAAAATCACTTTCGAAAAAACGCTTCGATGCAAATCGGTAGTTAGTATTTTCAAGCCAGTACAGTCCAAACCAAGCACAGTATAAACCAGCAAAGTTAGAAAGTTTTAAATGAAGGTTCTGTATTTACAAATGAGCATCAAAGCGTTTATTTGAAAGCGATTTTATTCAATTTTATCACTTTTATTTATAATTATTCTTGTAGACCTGTGACCACTCCGTTTCCTCATTGCTTTGATTACATTATGCCAATACTCTACTGTACTAGTCCTCTCGGATAAAATCGCTTTTAAATAAACGCTTTGATGCTCATTTGTAAATACAGAACCTTCATTTAAAACTTTCTAACTTTGCTGGTTTATACTGTGCTTGGTTTGGACTGTACTGGCTTGAAAATACTAACTACCGATTTGCATCGAAGCGTTTTTTCGAAAGTGATTTTATCACTTTCAGATTTAAAAATTCCTGTAAACCTGTGACCTCCCCGTCCCCAATATGCCCCGACCCAACTATGCTCCGTCCCCACTATGCCCCGACCCCACTGTACTGGTTTTTTTAACTAGGCATAATTGATATCTATGAAGGTCAAGATGATGAAAAGCCTATACCACCATCGAGTAAGTACACAATTATTGTTACTAAGAAACAATAGTTAAATAAACAACTTTTATATGTATAATAGTAATAGAAACTATTAATTTGAATAGTAGAATGTTCTACGAATAAAAGTTTAAGAACCAACACATTTTTTAAGGTTTAATTCAGAATAATGTTATTTGATAGTTGAAATACATATACATCGGTCTACGACTCAGGACTTTGCTTGTTTGGGCTGAGTTTTGAACTGTTACAGTCAAGGTGGTAATCTATCGAAGACTAAAATTGGAAACTATAAAATGTGAAATGTGAAACTATATCTTTTGGCTAGAAACTATGAATACATATTATCAGCTGACAACCGTCCATATATCAGCGGATTAGCTGTCAGCTGTGATATATGTGCACGTAACGCCATCTATTGGAATAAACTTTCACTAAAATCTTAAATTTCCCAATTTTCCGGGCATCTTTTCCAATTAGTCCTATCTAACCTATCCTATCTCTCAAGTTAAAACAAATTACACACAGTGTAGAGAATTTAATCAAGATCATTTTAGTAGTTTCAGAGATTTACTGCTATTGTATAATACGGACAACATGCATAATATTGTACTATTTTTATGATTTGTATGACTTTTTTACAATTAAACTAACTGTGTTCTGCATCATGAGCAAAAGTAGTAATTAGTAATCTGAATTTGACGAATTATAAAAAAAATTTGTTCAAATTTTTTTAGATAGAAATACACATGATGTGCATTTAAAGGTGATGTGTCAATATCTAGCATTGTTCTCGAGTACAAAAATACCAGCAAGATATTTAGTAGCTTTGCCATTGGACAAGAATACTTGTCTCATAAAAAATCACAATTCAGTACCCAATTCATTCAAGTACAGAAAATTTAATGACATATGGTACCAAGTAGGCCTCGAGAACATAAATTACTTTGTACAACCACTTAAGAAACAATTAGATCAGGGACCAAGAGTTACACTTTTCTAAAACTATATCATACTATTGAAATTATATTTAAATATTATTTGCATTGTTCACTTATATCCAAGCTGTAAATTTATGTTAATTTATTAATGTATTTTATAATAAACATTTTTACTGTCGACAATAATCACACTTGTTGATTTAAACAGATACTTTATATTTTTATTATATTATAAATGTTTGGTTTGAAGCATTTTTTAAAAATAAAGTTTTACTCATTCTCTGCATTAACTTGTCTTTCGACATTGCATTGCTATTATTTAATTTTAGTAAGCCCTATATCTGGGGATCACTACATAGTGATACAGGTATGGTCAATTCGGGGCCCCAAGCCCTGAACTGACTTTAATTATTTGGGTTAGACTGTTCCTACCAGTTTCGAGGGTTGAGGGGTCGGGCTAACAACCGTGTCTCTTTACAATTTTCTTCGTTGTGAATCTTCTAACCAAGCTTCGGAACTACGATGATATAAATGGAAAACTGACTGGAAACAGCATGGAGATAAGGATTAAGAACATGGAATATCATAACTTCAAATAAACACGGAGCACTCGGAGCATTCACGGTCTCAGTCATCCTAGAGTCAATGCTTCAAGACGATTGATTTCCTAACGTTTTGTTTAGCCATCAATGAACAATGACTGTCGTGAATGGTCTCGTTTCTGTCTTCAATGTCAACGAAGCAAATTTTCTAAACACATTTCTGCGCAACTTGGTAATATTACTGTTCTACCAGTCCGTTTCGCACATGTACACATCGACTTAATCGGTCCGCTTCCCTTCTGGAACGGATTCAAATACAATAAATCAGTACATCAGATGGCCGGAAAAATCTGGGTATATAAACCATTATTTAGTATTTTTGTACTTACATGTTATTTTATATCGATGCGAGTTTGAGGTAAATAAGACGTAAAAAAAAAAAAATTGTTTACTAGCCGTGTGTTGTTTACGCACTTTATCGTTTACTACAATATACTAGCGCATTTCATACAACGAAAATTCAAAGTATATAGTAGCTTAAAAAAGCAAGTAAGCTATAATACTAAACTTTCTAAGTATGATTTAAATTTAAATTTAATATATTTATGTAGTTATAACTGATCCGATAAGCCGTCAAATCAAGTAATTCAGTAGGGTTCAATGAGACAAAGATCTGAACATTGTTTTGTATTTAATATATTTGGGATGAGGTACATTTTTATCCAGTTGCATTCTCTAACAACTTTCAGTCAGTTTTATTTTTACATCATATTATAATGTACAAAGTTCTGACTTAATTATTGTTAAATTTCAATAATTGTTACCGTTGAAACATTTAAGAATAAAAGTTTCAAAAAAATACTATTCGGTGTTTTTTGGTCGAAAATGTCGACACAGCCAATAGTAACTGTAAAGCCGTATAAATTAAATTTCTTTTGGTATTCTCTAATAAAAATATTTTATATATTATGAGCGAATATTAGTGTTAAAGTTAACACTAAGAAAAATATAGTCTAAACTCCGCGTTGGAGAAATAGCACTACATGATAAATCGTATACAGCAAAAAATGAACCAGCTGTGTACATACTATAGTGAATATAGGTACATAATATGTTTCTAGTACTTCGGTTGAAATACGTACCCATCGCCTAAGCCAAGAGAAGACAATTTGCAAAATGTTAGTATGAAAATTTGAACGAGTCAGTAGTGTTGTCTTAGAAATTTTAACGGTCCAATTATTGAAGTAAGTATAACTATTAAGATCTAAAATTTTTAAGTTATTCCGCTAGAATTTAAAAGTAGGCATGAGCCGATATAGATTATTTTGTCTATATTAATTAAACTATTACAAAACATTAGTCGACAAATTAAATAACTAATGAAGTCAATTTACTTTTTTTGAAAAATATCAAAGAAAAAACCGATTAATCTAAACCATAAAAAGAATATCATCATTACAATACAATTATTTTACGCGAACCCCTTAATACTTCATTAAGTTTAATAAGAAATACATTTTTTTTTCATAATGTATTTATTTAATGTGATCTCAATTTTTCACAATTTTTTTTGTTTTTACCCCCCTCCCAACTTTTTGAAAGGCAATTTTTAAACATGAATGGTCACGCATACATTTCAATGCCTTTTTAATTGAGAATAATGTACTTAACTAGTCGATAACCAGTTTTGGACAATTATTTTTGAAGTTATTAAAGTTTTAGTCTTAGAGCAAGAGGAAAGTTGGAGAGTAGTATTATTTTTATCTGCGACCACTCACCAACCGCACTTCCCCTCCCGTCCCAACATTACAATTTTTAACTTTAAAAATAGTTTTCCAAAACTGGTTAACAAACAGTCAACATTTTAAGTACATAATTTTCAATTTAAAAAGTTAATAAAATGTATGCTTTACCATTTAAGTTTCAAAAGTTGCCATCATAAAAACTAGGTTAGGGAAGGAGATGAAACTATAACAAATTGTGAATATTTGAGATCATATTTTATTAAAATATTTTGAAAAATAAAAAAACTTATTTAACCCCTATGATAAATTGAGTGATTCACGATAAAATGATCACCTGTTTTTACTAATATTGGACATCGGTTCATACCTATACTCTACACTTTCAATGAGTTAAATTATTTTTAAAGATTTAGCCTATAAAAATTTGTTTTTTGTTTAATACATTTTAAGGATACAAATTTGAATTTTCTTATTTAATAAAAAAAAGTAAATTATTAAACAAGTATTTATAATAGATTTTTAAAATAAATAAAATTTTTGGAAAACCAATAGGTTTTTCGGGGGGGGGAGGAAGGATTTTGGATGTACACTTTGTCTCAACGATTATATGAAAATTGAAGATATTGGTTTAAATAAAAACTAAGTTAGGGAGTGGGATAAAACCAAAAAAGTTTTTGAAAATTTAAGATCACATTTTATTAAAAATATTTATCAGACTGAATATTATAAGACTTACCAGATAACAGCGTAACGCTTTTTTCGTGACGGTTTTTCGGTTATGTGCCAGAGCTTACCCCATTCCAACCCCCAAACCCTTTACCACCCTACCCCATTGCCACCTCCTCCCTAACCCCAACCCTCATCACTAATCTTTTATCTTTTACCCCTTATCTCCTATATCCTATATTTTACCCCCTATTTCTTATATCTTACCCCCTATCTTTGGTACCACTTATTTCGATATTTTTGGTATAGTAGTATACTACCCTAACCCCATTCACACCCTCATCCTCATTCACAACCCCACCCCACCCCAACCCCATTCCCAACCACAACTCCATACCCATTCCCATCCCCATTCCCATCCCCAACCCCATCTCCGTGCCCGTAACGCTTTTTTTTTCTAGTAACACTTTTTTCGATTATGTGCCAGAGCTAATTTCCCCCCCCCCCCCAGCTTTCTCCCCACCAGCGTAAAGGTTTTTGTAAAAGTTTTTTTGTGACAGTTTTTCTGTTATGTGCTAGAGCTAAGACATAAAAATTTCAAAAACTTATTAAACTCTTATGATATATTAAGTGGCCACCATAAAATGATCACCTGTATTTTACGATTTTGGATATTGGTTCATACATACACTCTGCACTACCAATGAGTTAAGTGGTTTTTTTTAAGATTTAAGGTATTTAAGATTTAGGCTAATAAAAAATATTTTTTTGTTTAATGCTTATTAAGGAAACAAATTTGAATTTTCTTGTTTAATAAAGTAAAAATAAATAACTAAACAAGGATTTATACTAGATTTTTAAAATAAACTTAATTTTTGGAAAACAAATAGATTTTTTTAAGGGGAGGGGATTGTGTTTTTACACTTTTTCTCAACGATTATATGAAAGTAAAAGGTATTGGTTTTATAATGCTGTAACAACAAAACACGATAACTTTTTTTCCTGATGATCGATTTACTCATGTAGCACAACTTATAGATCCAAAATCGAATGCAAATGGGTGGGGCAAAAGTATAAAAAGTCAACTCCTTCCCCTCCGAAACCGGAAACCCATAAAAATGCACACCCGCTGCCTATTAACCACTAGAGACCATACGTAGATTCGAACCAGCGACAACAGAAGTACTAAACAAAAGTATCTCATTTATATAATATAATAATATGGTAAAAAATTAATATTTATTGTTTTTAACATTTTTTTTTTTATACAGCCTTTATTTTAAATTTAACAGCTCAACAATTACAAAAATTTATTGTTATATTTTTTATTTTGTATAACACAAAATAAAAGAATACTACGTTATCGTTATTATTTAAATCCTGTACTGTAAAAATTAACTAGCTACAAAAAATGTATAGAATAAGATAATTTAAAAACTAGCACAGTTTAAAACAAAACCGTATTTATCATCTAAGCATAGTAGACTATAGAGCCATAGATAATAAAAACATGGATAGGACATTACCAATTTAGGCCACTATATTTTTGAGGTCCTGAACTGATAAGAAGAAATTGAGGCTGTTTGTTTACAGTACTGCATATTATCTTATTTAGATACTTAGATTATGAATTTAAAAAAAGTGAATTCGTATCAACTTCGTCATCAAACAATTGATGACCGTTGATAAGACGTTATGTCCTATCTATGTTTTTATAATCAATGAGTGAGCATAAACCGACACAATAAATATCAGGTACAAAATGAAGTAAGATAAGAAGAGTATGAAAATTATTAAAACTGAAAGTACTTTAATCTGAGAGTTTAGAGTTTAGAAAGAGTTTAGAAAAGTTGGTTCATATCAAATTTTGAATCTAAATGTGATATTATCACAATCAAACCCTTCGATGCGATTCTGGAAATAATAAGAATCCAGTAGAGTTCAAACCAGCACAGTCCATTCCAAGCACAGTTTATACCAGCACATTTTGAATCAAACACAGTCTAAACCAGTACAGTAAGAAATAACCAAAGTGGGGTTCAGTTTCCCTAGATTTGCATCAAAGCATTTTTTTGAATTTTATCCTCAATTCAGTGGTGTCTTTATAATAATTGTATAATATTAAATAATGTGTCGCATGCCATATGTTGGTTTTAGTCACATGCCTTGGTGGCAACCCTGTGGACGTATATTTGGCTAGATACCAAAAAACATGTTACATATCAAATCAACAAGATTTTTTCTCCCGATTTCAAATCTGAAATTATTTTTTCCGTTTGACAATTTTTTATGAGATACGAGTTCTATTTTCAAAATTAAAAAAAAATGAATTCCATTTATTGTACCCATAAAGCATCCTGAATGTCTCATTTGAAGCTCGGTAGAACTTTACCTTACACCCTGTGTATATTTATCAAAAAACCGCCTGTTAATACCAAATGTGTTGTTATGAACCCCTGAAATATTTAGTGTTAATTAAAGTAGTATTACATTATATTGATATTTCGCAATTGTAATAACAGAGCATCATATAATGTGTGTTAGACGCGGTCGGCCTAAAGGAATGTGCTATTGTTTTATTTTTCGGTTAAGCAAAACCAGAAGGCTAGCCGACCGCGACCCTAACACATCAGAGCATCGTCAGTCTTTTGACAGCCGTTACCTGTGTACTTGTTAGTTTTTGTCTTAATACTGTATCAAATAAACTTTTATTAATATTATAAAAAGTGCTCATAATTTTTTATTTTGTTACATCCGTAACATTGTTATATCTGGTGGCGACTATAACTAATATGAATTGATTATATGTTTAATATTATTTACAGATAAAAATGAAACTTCTCTATTTTTTAATTTTATTGTTCATTGTGAATGTTTGGACAGTTGACGTATTATGTAAATATTTAATTTTAACAATAATACACTTAGATACGTTTTAATAAACTTTAATATTATACTATTTTTACAGTAAAGTACAAGGAGGAAGTAATCATTACAAGTCAGTAACATTTTTTTAAAATAAAAAAAACATTTTAATTTTTAAATTTTAGTTTTTTTCATATTTTTTTAAATTATGTATTTCAGACAAACTCATCAAGCAAGCTTTCAAAAGGAATGGTGTTGAGGATAATAAAAGTGTAAGAGGTAAGATTTATTTTTAATTAGTTTACTAATATATATTTATTAATTGTATTATAATACACCCTCGATTAAGTAAACAATTATAACATTGAGAATAAATAATTATATAAATCAGAACATGAATAATAATAATAAAATCCCACAGTAAAAATAAAAGCTAAAAATTAATATTTTAAAGTATTTGATTAAAATTCTGAGACATTATTATTAAAAAAAACTTATTTTTTACATTCTATCAATATACTATTAGGTAATTATAGGTAAGAGCTGTTAGGGGTATAAGACGAATTGATGAATTATTAAATTTTAGAATTTTATAAACCGATTTTGCTCAATATTTCCGGACAGTCAAACGGTATTATTTAATCATTTATGGACAAATACCCTATCACTCATACCAGGTTAGGTTATGAGCAATCTTGGACAGTAACCGCCTTTATACTTTCTCAAGTTTAGTATTGAGGCTATTTGGAAAGAGGTTCCATGTAACTGAAAAAAATTCGTCGACCGATTTTTCCAAGGACACATTATATTCTTGACGTACATTTAAGAATCATTAACTCATATATATCTATAACTATATAACTATAAATAAATAACTATATATATATATCGTTTTACGACTCAATCTTTAATGAATCATTTTATAATATAATATATAATCATTTTATATTATAGAACGACCAGGAATAACTGATTACTGTACTGGAGAAGACAGCGCACAACAATCAAGTGAGTCGATTAAGTACACAATAATTAATATCACTTAAATAGAAAACTTCGTTGTCCCTTATTCGCTTGATACCAATTAGTCCACTTTCATATCACCAGGGGGTGCTTACACTTACTAATTTAATATGGACTTCATGTACATTGTACTATACTTTGTTATATGTTTTATGACTTTTTTATGAGTAAACTAGTTTACTCATACTAGTCTTGCACCGTGAACAAAAGTAGTAATAGGTAACATCTATAACTTGGAGAATTACGAAAAAAAAAAAATACTTTTTATTTTTAAGAGAGAAATCCCCATAAAAGGTTATTGTTAAATAAGAAGACACAACCGACAGCTATTGGCTATAAACGTTAGTAATATTTAACTAATAAGTAATTTATGTAGGTAAAATTTATTGTTTTCTTCATCACAGTACCAGTATAAGATTTAATTTTAATTTAAATGTTAGAAACTCAATTTTTCTTTAGAACCAACTATGCTCCGTCCCCACTATGCCCCGATCCCAATGTACTGGTTTTTTTTTTGCAGAAACATAGTGGACCAAATAACACATTTACAATGTCTTGTTACATTTAGTTGGAATGTTCGACGATTCATGTTTCAATCGTTTGTACTCCATAGTTGAAATTATAATTGCTTATTCTCAATGAAATTAATATTTATGTATTATATACTTCCAGTAGAGCAATCTCACACTAACTATTTATACCTCATAGATTATATTATTTCAAAGCTGTATTATGCCGTTTCTACCATGCCCCGACCCCACTGTACTGGTTTTTTTTTATCTCAGTTCTGCAACTTAAACTAGATAGACATTATTTCACAGGAATAAATTGTTTAGATTTTTTACTTAAATTATTTATAAATATACTCACACGAAAATGCAATGTTAAATGACCTAGGTAGTAAAAACCGTAAGCTTAGATATATATATATATAATTTTAGTCGTTTCGCCGGACATATTAACAAACTACGTGTTTATCGTCATGCTATCAGTCATACTGATATAGTTTTATGCTTTCCTAATAAATTGTAAAGTTATTTATAAATACAATTTTTCATTTTCTGTTAACTTTTCAGAAAAGTTCACTAATTTTTATTTTATTTTAACATTTTAATACATTAGAAATATATATTTTTTTTTAATCTAGATGGATTGGAGGTTGTAATTAAAGCCATAGTTTGGAAAGAAAAATTTTCAACAGGTAGTAATAGTTATGTAATAATAAAAAATATAAGACATGCTAAATAATGCTAAATCCAATACCATTAAATTATGTCATGTTAATTTCAGGGGAAATGAATCGTATGTTCGCTATACCGGGTAAGAAATTGTATTGCAAATTATTATTGTATTATTTTCGTATATTTGTTTAATGCACTAATAATCGTACTCACTGTATTTGTTTTAGTTGCAGTAACTTCTTCACCCCTTAAGAGAATAAATGGTACATAACATACATTTATACTGTACATTTTAAATATTTTACACATATTCATTATTTATTAATATGTTGGGAACAATAATATGATGTATAACATAATGCATTTTGTTTTGAATTTTAGAATATAAAAAACATGAAACCACCATGCAAAAAGAAATAAAAGATGAATTAGGTAAATATAATATATAAAGTGTTTAAGGGAGTAATTTTCAAAACTACTAGGCTACTAAGCTTACTAAAGTTACTAAGCTTTAAAAAAAAAAACGACAACAATTTTATTTATGTAGTCATATTGGTATGATATGTTTTTTGTTTTAGCTTTTGATGAGTATTTTAATGTAATTTAAAACGTTTATTAAGACGTTGCTAGTAGAAAAAATTGAATTTTTGTTCAAAATTTAGAATAATAATTAATTGGTTTTAGTATTATCGGTTTTAGTTAACATATTATTGGTATAATATATTTTTTGCTTAAGCTTTTATTGATTATTTGAATTATAATTTAATATTCTGTTAATTCACAAGTTGCTATTAGAAATAATTTAAATATTTATTTTAAAGATGAAACCGTATTTTATTAACTTTACCTTTAGGTATATTTTATATTTTATATATATTTTTATAGATTTGTCTACTCCTGAAGTTACCAAAGAAGGTAATTACGCATTTTTTTAAGTCACAAATGGTTTTAAAGATTAATTAAGAGTTTTAATTGGATTTACTATTCAAAAATATTTTAGGCAAACGATAATTTCAATAAAATAAGCTATTAGTTTGAGAGTAGGAGTATTTGACAAATTTTTAAAGGAATTAGTACTTTTTATTTAAGAGAATAATAAAATAATTATGAATTAACTTTTTTATGGGTAGATTATTTATGTTAACGAAAGCTCACGATTTGACAGAATAGTCGTTGCAGGTTTTTATTGTTGGTCTGTCGTAACATTGCATTATTGCTCCGTTGACGTTATACATTGTACTCTTATTATCTTCTTTGTTGTGTATACAACCATTTAGTCAATTTTAATCCAATTTTAATGGATTTTGAATAACAACATATTCAAAAAAGTTGGTTAGTTAAAAATGTTTATTTTTTTGAAATAATGTTATTGACAATTTTATAATAAATATTCCACAGTTTGGCAAGTTGGCCTGTGCATTTCTATATAAATAAAAATTAAAAGCTTTTCGTTGGTGCTCACATCACTTTAGAACGGCTAGACCGATTTTGCTCATTTGTTTTTAAAATGTTCGTGGATTTCCGGAATATAGATTTTCCGGAAAGAAAAATTGGAAAAGTTGAGCGGAAAATTAGAAAATTCTGAAAAAACTGAAATTGTGTTTTTCCATGTGATTTTTGTATGAATTCGCATAGATGCATACATCATCACTCTTTCAAATAAACGCATCGCTAAACTTTACATTGTATCAATTTTCAATGTCGAATAATAAGCCATTCATCGTTTTTGACAAAATCATTGAACTATTTTTCTGGGATCAACTTAATCACAACCTTAAAATATAATACGCGTCTACAGTAGAATTTTCTGTCTTTTTTTTTTTAGTATCGGATGCTTTAATTTGTAGATCACACCATTAATCTTTTTGCCGTCTACATAGAGTTGATTATAATATTAATGAGTAAGAAACTCTTTAAACTTCAAGAATAAAATTAATACTTTCTTTGAGTTTCAACCCTATTTCGGGCTGTATCAAAATTAAGTTATAACATAATTTTTTAAAATATAATGTAATTATGTATTAATTATTTTTTAATACAGTTGTTTAAATATATTTTTTTGTAGATCTTAAGAACTTAACTTGGGAACAACTTAGAATTAAAAGAAGAAGACTTATAAGAAAAGCTTTAAGAAGTATTCTTAGCCAGGCATTAGGTAAAACTATGTATACAGTTATTTGGTTACGAAAATTTTGAAAATTGTTTGTATAACGCTTGTTATACAAAATAAAAAACTTCAACAATTTATGATTGAAACCTTGGAAGCATATAATTTCGAAAAAGTCCAAAACAAGGAACGTCCTTTTATATTAGATATATATTATTTATATATTAAATCTCAGTTTTTTTAATTATTAATAAACTTAAAATAATATTAGAATTTTGCTACGATCACTACCTTGAAAACTTTAAAAAGAACCCAAGAAGAAGAGTATACTTAGCAACGTAGCGTTTGAAATAGACCTAATACATAGTGGTGTTATGTATTTACACATATGTGTCAAAACGCCAAATACGAACGAACGTTTGGAGCGAACCCCAGCAGATTTTTTTGAAAATTACGTTGCATGTCTGTTAAAATGACGCTCATAAAGATTAGAGAAAAAACATTTGATATAAGAGATAAGAGATTAGATATGGAGGTATCAAAGTACCAAAAACTACCAAAAGTCCCAGGGCCCTTTATTTGTATATTAAGGTATCCACAATAAGATGTCCTTTCAATATCAATTCATATTTAGATATCCATGTTCCTATGTAATTTCATGCAGCGGAGGTACTACTATCAGTCTACTGATACATTAACTTTACATTTAGATTTATGTCAGCAGTTTGGCATAACTAGGTCATAGCTCATTGTTGTGCACACTAAATATTTCCAAATTTTTTTTTTAAAACTGTTAGTATTTAGTTTGACGTACATTTATGGTTTTCAGACAACGACAAAATAAAGGTGACACCTAATACTACTAGACATAAAAGGTCGAAGCTTAGTGGCACTAGTGGAAAAGATAAAACGGTTTTATTGGACAAAAAAGACGGCGATTGTTGTACGTATCATCCATGTTAAAATTAACGATGAGCCTAATTATTGTTTTTTATTACGGCATGATTAAAAACAGCTAGTATTTAAATGTATTAAGCATTGCTTTTCAAATAACAAGCATATTGTACTATATTTTGTTAAATGTTCTATGACTCTTTTACGAGTAAAGTAGTTGTGTCTTGCACCATGAACAATTGTAGTAATATTTAAGCTGTATTTTTCGAATAATAAAAAAAAATGATTTTAATTCTTTTAGATAGAAGTACGTGGCCATTGGAGATAATGTGTCGATTTATAGCATTGTACTCGAGTTCATTATATGAAACAGATTATTTATTAGATTTGACGTTTGAAAAGAATACTTGTTATATAACAAATTATCATTCAGTACCTGAATCATTCAGTTACAAGAAATTTAATGGCATATGGCACCAAGTAGGCATGGACCCAGATGTCCCATTACAACCACTTGAGGAACAATTAGACTATGGACCAAGAGTTGTACGACCCAAAAAAATTACATAATACTATTGAGATAATATTTACATTGTTCACTTATATCCAAGCTGTAAACTGAATGAATGTGTTTTATAATAAACAGTTAAATTATCGATTATAATCACATTTGATGCTTATATGTTGATTCACACATATTCCTAATATATTTACCATATTATAAATGTTCTGCATTGCATTGTCATTATTTATTTCCAGTAAGTTCTATATCATTCAACATTCTATCCATCTGTCTCTTAGCTAATGCAACTCTTGTAGTCAATTTCACAGATGTGTAAGGCGCTTATTATGAATCGTGAAAAAATCGTTGTTGTTAAAATTTAAATTCCAATTTATTTATATTCACTGTTATGAGTTTTACAGTCTGAATTTTCCTACGAAGTGCTTTGGAAAGTTAACACCACTGTTCAGTTACATTACACGTAAAAAGTTCGTAAAACATTTAAAAATATTATAATTCTTCATTGTTTAATCAATTCCTTGGTTTTAGTAAATAATTAGAAATAACTAACTATCAAGGATGAAATACAAGCTAGCAAATAGTAAATCTGAAACAATCGAGAATTAAAAGGAAGTTATATCTCTAACCTAACCAATAGTATTGTTTCACAATTCAATAAAGAATTGTACTTTAAAAACGGTTAAATAAGCAAGATCCGAAATCTCTGCCCCCACTATTCCTGGGGCCCCAGGAAGGCGTATAAAACGTACATGGTGTCGTGACCTACTAGATGATTAATCTCACTACCACGTGACGAAGTACCAACACTGGTTGGCTCCTTCTTACAAATTATCAGTCTCTAATATATTTATATATATATTCTCTTCTTCTTATAATCGCATGAACCTATTGTAAACGGTGTTTCTTTACAGATTGTTCATTTATTAATAAAAACAAAAAAAAGCAAGAAAGCTATAATACTAAACTTTCAAAGACTGATTAAAATTAAAACTGTAAACATTAATCTAATCCTAACCTATCCAAATGGCCGTCCAAACAATTAATTTAGGATAGAATAAGTCATAAGTCTCAAATTTGTTATACGTATATTAAATATATTTTAGTAATACCATAATCACATTTTTCAAAAAAATACTATTCGGCTGTGTTTTTCGCTCCAAAATTTCCTAAGGCCGTAATAATTTAATTTCATTAGCCATTTTCTAATTTAAACATTAGAAATATCAGCGATCGTAAAATTAAAACAGGAATACTATAGTCTAAACTCAGCGCAGAGAAATAGCACTACAAAAAATGAGCCATCTGTGTATATACTCTAGGTACATCGTAAAAACATAATAATTTCCTAATATTTCGGTTGAAATACGTTTCCATCGACGAGCCGTAACGAGACCATTTTCAGTTTCTTTTGAAAGGCTGAACGAGTTACTAGTGTTGTCCTAGAAATTGTAACGGTCCATTATTTAAGTAAGTATAGCTATTAAACTCTAAAAGTTTAAATTTATTCGGCTAGAATTATAAAGTAGACATGAGCCGATATCGGTTATATTTTCTATAATAATTAAACTATTATAAATCGTTAGTCGACATATTAAATAAATAATATAGTCAATTTACTTTTTTCTTTTAATCGAACGTTTTTTTGTTTATTTTTTTTAACAAAACGGCTACTAAAATTGTGATACAGTCAGTCCATGATAAAGCAAAACAATATTTTATGAAATTCAAAAGTATCTAATATGTACGTTACCATTTTTAAAAATAATAAACGTATAAAGCACAATGGTAATTGTCTTGTGATAAAACATATTTATTATATATGATAAATAAAATATTGTACAATAATAATAAATATTTGAAATGCATAATTTTAGTAAGTTATACTACTTTTAACTTATAACGTATTTTGAATAAAAATATATTCGGATAATTTAGATAGTAAATAAAATTGGAGCTGTGAGTGGTTAAAATAAAAAACAACATGTTATTAGTCCGCTCAATCATAGGGATGCGTTTACGGCGGTAAACTGTACATAGTATACATTTTTAATATCGATTAAAGAATAATTGTAAAGGCCATACATCGTTTTTGACATAATCATTCAATCATTTTTCAAGTAAAACGCGTCTATAGTAGATTTTTCTGTCTTTTTCAGTTTTGGATGCTTTAACTTGTAGGTCACGCCATTAATCTTTTTGCCGTCCACATCATTTTGACTCTCACTTACAATTTTAATGAGATAAAGATTCTTTGTATTTCAACTATAAAATAAATACTTTCTTTTAGTTTCAACACTAACTCTGGTTTTATCAAAATTTAGTTATAACATAGTTCTCTGAAATTTAATGCAATTATGTATTAATAATTTATATCTTTAGTTTTAACAACTCAATCATTTAATATTTTGTTGTAGACTTTACGAACTTAACTTGGACAGCACATATAGAGCAGAGAAGATTATTCTTATTGGAGAAGCTTTAAGAAGTATCATTAGCCAGGCAATAGGTAACTATATATGCAAATATCACGAGTTCCAAAAATATTAAAAATTGTTTCGATAATCGCATATTCTACAAAATAGAAAACTACAACATTCTATGATTGAAACCTTTGGAGCATATAATTTCGTATTATTATCAAGACGTCCCTTATTTTGGACTTTTTCGAAATTATATGCTTTTAAATAACCGTATATTTTAGTTTAAAAATGTATTACACACACACACTGGTATTAAGCAAAGAAAAACGTGATGTTTATGAAAAAATATGAAAGAAATGATTAAAATGAGTAGAAAGACGATAGACTATGAGAGTGAAACGAGAAAACTGGAAATGAAGAACTGATAAAGTCATCCTGTTGCATATGTCTTTTATATGCTGTGCCAGGTGTATCTTTTTATTAGTTGGAATAATTAAGTGGGGTTATAGAAACTGTAATTGGTTGTGGACAATACATTTGGAATAATTAAGTGGGATTATAGAATGTGTGATTGGTTGTGGATAATAGTGAATGGTTATAATACGAAATATTTAAGAGGGGATATCAGTGTGTGTGTTTAACGTTTATTACATTTATAATTTTATATATTATAAAGTTTTGTGCTCAACTACCACTTTTGACTTATAATTTACACAAATTCGGTTTTTTTTTTTTTTTAATTACATTTTTTCTGGCTGATTAAAATTGAGAACTGATATTAAATTCGTAATTGTTATACCTTAGTATGGAAGTAAAACACAATTAGATCAATATAAATAATAATATTCGCTGATGTTTATTATGAAACCCAAATTACACGAATGACGAGTTGTTTCGGTATAGCACTCGCGTCTACACTGCTGATACGTAACACCTCTTTCTTTTTTTTAATATTTAAAATAAAATCAAAAATAATATACTTAACCATAATTACATTTTTAATATTATATAAATAGACAACACAAATTATTACAAAATCAATATCAAATTACAATATTTCGTACAAAAATAATAATTATGTATAGTAAACATGTTTTTATAATATAAAAAAATAATGCAGTAACATACTTATTAATAACCACAAGGAGGAAAACGCTGAAGAGGGTTTTTAATTCTAACAGGTCTAGGATGTAAGAATTTCCTTAATTTTTTTTACGCTTTGCCACAATTTGGTGACCAATGCCATTTAATATCCCTATGTAGAAGCAAATAAAGTGGTTTTAAAATATCTGCTACATAGCTTTCTGAATTTCACCTGCTGTATTTTTATACCAAATGGATTTCGAGTGTAACTGAATAAACCTTTGTGTGTGTTAATGGTAGTATATTTTCGATTTGTCTCTTTAATTACCTTTTTCTTGGTACGCATCTTTAAGATCAATTTTAGAAAAATACCGCTAATGTTTGCGTATAGATGTTCTACTTTAGGTAATGGGTACTCCGTTCCATCCAAAACTGGGTTAATTGTAATTTTAAAATCACCACAAATTCTTACTGTGCCGTCAGATTTTAAAATTGAAACAATAGGTGTTGCCCATTCACTGTAGTCAACCGGAACTAGAATTTGATTAACTACTAAACGAGTTATTTCTGTCGCTACTTTACTTTTTAACGCTAAAGGGATTGACCTGGGTTAAAAAATTTGGGTATAGCCGCTTTTTTAATAATTAACCAAATTTCATATTTATTAAATGTCCCCAAATCATCTTTAAACAGTTCTTCAAAGTTTTTTAATATTTGATCCAGATCTAAATTATCACTGTCATTTATATTTTTATGTAAGGGTGAGTAATGAATTGTATGTAATTCATTTCTACCAATCAAAGGAGGGCCTCCCTTTTCAATGACATAAATACCCATTTTAAAAGCCTTGTTTGAGTATTTCGCATTTACCATGACCTTACCTATCGGGCTTAAGTTATTTCCTACATAATCGTATAATGAAATATCATTGTATTGTAAAACTATATTACTAAAGTTAGAATCATACATTTTTTTGATATAACACTACAATGTATGTACTTAGACCCCGTAATTATTTCTTTCAACATTTTTTTATTTTCAACTGATAGGATAATTGTAAAAGGCTTTATTCTATTTTGAGAATTATGTTGTTCCCTTATACAAAAAAAGTTATCAGATAAATTATACATAATATCATTTTCTTCTACATTTTCATTCGAATTCTGTGGTATAAATTTATTTTGGGAATACTTATAATATTTTGGTTGATCATTCTTACCCCTTTTAGTACACATTTGAGCCAGGTGACCTTTGACATTACAAATGTTACAGCTGTAGTCCTTGTAATTGCAGTCCTTTTGGGCGTGGTTTGAACGACCGCATACCCCGCACCTTGGTTTATCTGGAGTTGTCTGACAATCAGCTGGTTTGAACTTGCGTGACTGCCTCTGGTATTTGAGGTCGGCTTCGTCCTTCTCCCAACCATTTTAGCTTCGATGCAAAGCGAGAAGGTATTGGTTTTACTCTGATGTGGGCTTTTTTTTTCGCTGTATACACTGTAACTTTTTTAATACTAGACCAATTCCTTTGAATAGCAACTCTATAAATCACAAATTTTGTCTAGTTTGTACTTTGGGGGGGTAAAAGTTGAAAAAGTTTAAGTCTTCATAGACGAAAGTTGAAAAAACAAAAAAAAAAACCGTACGAGTTTTTAAGTTAGAACTTTTACTGGCTATAGTATCGAGAAAAAGAGTCGGATCGAGTTGAAATGTATAAGAAATATTTATTTGTTATGCCCGCGCACGTCAGTTTTGTCAAATTCAAAATATACCCATTTCCCGCCCCCCTAGGGGGGGTACAAGTTTTTTTGTTTTTCGGGGTTTTTAGCCGTAATTTTAAAACTTTTGGGTTGAAAATTTGCCAGTAGTTGGAACTCATATGTATCCATAACATATTAAGCGGGTGAAAAATTCGGCACTACAGTTTTTTTTTAATTGCCGGAAAACCGTGTTTTCGCACATTGCGTATATTTTAACAAAAACACCTAAAATCTTTAAAAAAAATTGATCAAATCATTAAAACAATTTTATTTATATCTATACAGAATGATACTATTAGGTTTTGTGCTCAAGTACCACTCTTGACTTAAAGTTTACACAAAGTTCAATTTTTTTTTTTTTTTTTAACTAAAAACCCAGTGTACCAGATGTGAGAAACGAACAGACACTAAAAACTATCAGTTGGTAACGTCTATCCGTGTTAGATTAGTTTAGGGCCCAATGATCGGTATCATAATATTGTGTTTATTACATGATATCACAGGCGACTAAATCGTGTAACTGATTATAGTAGACACTCGATTTATTGTGAAAAAAACCTGGTCGTGTACTTATTAAGACACTTAATGATTCTGATACGACAAAACCACTGTCGTTATCTCGTTATTTTATAGCCTGCGTTATATAACCTTACCGAAGGTTAACTATGAGTATTTAATGTCCAACTACCTGCAAATAATGAAGAGGAGTGTTGTTTTTTGGATTCAGATTAAGTGTTGGTTTTTATGCAGTATACCGACTCAAAATGTTTTTTTTATTACACAATTTTTTTAAAGGAAAACTAATGTTTTGTATATTGTTATACTGTTATTCATTTAAAGAGATTCACGCTTGATTGTTTAAATTGTCTAATATTAGATAATCTGCTTCGTGCTAATTTTATTTTTTTAGTTTATCAACTTGTAGCTCTAATTTTGTAAAAAATATTTCATTATTTTATTACTATGTACTATTACTATTAAGATAAATTTTAATAATAATTAAGTCATAAATGATAATACTTTATTTTATGACTAGATCAAATCTTGTAAACATTTAACATCATGATACTGCTCCTATGCTATCATTAAAAAAACACAATTTTTAAAATCTCCATTAAAGGTTATTGTTAAATAACAGGCAACAGCCGACTGCTAGTGGCTATACACGTTAGTAATATTTAACTAATAAGTAATAAATGTAGGTAAAATTTATTGTTTTCTCCATCACAGTACCAGTATACGATTTATTTTAATTTAAATGTAAGAAAATCCATTTTTCTTTAGAAAATAACAAGAAATTAATATACAGGATGAGGCAGTAAAACGGCGATTTTCTAATGTATTTAAATGGTAAAACCCGTTTCACTAACCCACCCTTTACATTTTAAAGATCTATGAAAAGGTTTTTTTAGTTGCATTTTATTTTGTACATTGTCAATCTAGTAAAATAGAAGTATAATATAGCTTTGAAATAATATAATCTGTGAAGTATAAATAGTTTGTGTGAGATTGCTATAATGGAAGTATATAATACATAAATATTAATTTTATTGAGAATAAGCGATTATAATTTAAACTATGGAGTACAAACGATTGAAACATGAATCGTCGACCATTCCAACAAAATATAACAAGACATTGTATTTGTGTTATTTGGTTTACTAAGTTTTTGCAAAAAAAAAAAAAACCAGTACAGTGGGGTCGGGGCATAGTGGGGACGGAGCATATTTGGGTCGGGGCATATTGGGGACGGGGAGGTCACAGGTTTACAGGAATTTTTAAATCTGAAAGTGATAAAATCACTTTCGAAAAAACGCTTCGATGCAAATCGGTAGTTAGTATTTTCAAGCCAGTACAGTCCAAACCAAGCACAGTATAAACCAGCAAAGTTAGAAAGTTTTAAATGAAGGTTCTGTATTTACAAATGAGCATCAAAGCGTTTATTTGAAAGCGATTTTATTCAATTTATCACTTTTATTTATAATAATTCTTGTAGACCTGTGACCTCTCCGTCCCCTCGTTGCCTTGATTCCATTATGCCTATACTGTACTAGTCCTCTCGGATAAAATCACTTTCAAATTAACGCTCTGATGCTGATTTGTAAATACAGCACCTCAATTTAATACTTTCTAACTTTGCTGATTATTACTGTGCTTGGTTTGGAGTGTACTGGGTTGAAAATACTAAATCCCGATTTGCATTAAAGCGTTTTTTTTAAAGTGATTTTATCACTTTCAGATTTAAAAATTCCTGTAAACCAGTGACCTCCCCGTCTCCACTATGCGCCGACCCGACTATGATCCGTCCCCACTATGCCTCGACCCCACTGTACTGGTTTTTTTGATAGCTAAAATATATATAAATTGATTTATTCATTAAAAATTGAGTCGTAAAACCATATATATATATATCTTATATTTTTAAAAGACCCCAAAAAAAATTATTTACTTATTGTGTGCCGTTTACTACAATATAATACTAGCGCATTTTAAGCAACGAAAATTCAAAGAATATAGTAGAACCTAACACATTATCAATTGGAAATCTGTACTATGAAAATAAACTAGCTACAAAAAAAGCATAGAATAAAATCATTTTAAAAATTAGCACAGTTTAAACCAAAACCGTATTTATCATCTAAGGAAAGTAGAGCCATAGATAATGTAAATATAGACGGGACATTTCCAATTGAGACCACTATATCTTTGCGCCTACAAACCCGAAAAAAATGCGGGTAGTAAGTTGGCTTGGTTTGTGTACATCTACAGCTATAGCAGATCTAGTAGTCACAACTACAATTTTCCTAATAAAGTACCCTTCAAGTTCGATTTCTACCTTGCATTATGAAAAAATCAGTTTAGCGATCTAGTAAAAAACAAATTATATATTTATCAAAAAACAGCCTTTTAATACCAAAATAATTTCGTCATTGGTGGCGAGCATGACTAATAAAATTATATTATATGTTTTATTTATTTACAGACAAAAATGAAACTTCTCTGTTTTTTAATATTATCAGTCACTGTGAATGTTTGGACAGATGAATTATGTAATTATTTTATTTTCTCAATTACATAGTTAGATATGTTTTAAACAACTTCAATATTTTACTATTTTTACAGTAAAGTACAAGGAAGAAGTAATCATTACAAGTCAGTAACATTTTTCTTTTATAAAAAGTAGCATGTTTAAATTCTAGTTTTTTTCATATTTTTAATTTATGTATTACAGACTCACTCATCAGGCAAGCTTCTAATAAGAATAACTGTTATGTAAAAGGCAAATTTATAAGAAGTAAGATTATTTTAAATTAATTTACTACTATATATTTATTAATTTTGTTATAATATACCCTTGAAGGGTGAAATAAATAAACTGATATTACAATGAAATAAATAATAATACAAACCACAACAAGAATAATAATAATAAAATCCTACAGTAAATTTAAAAGCTAAAAATTAATATTTTAAAGTATTTGATTAAAACTAATTTTGACTAAGACATCAACATTGAAAAAAATATATATTATAAATAATATTAATATATTTAATAATTTCCGGACAAATTCTCAGGCATTAACACACGTCGTGTTTATTACATGCAGTTTTAATAGATTTAAATTTACGGAAGCTATTATGTTTCATGGGTTGTCAAAGTTTAACTTTAAGACAATATGTAGAATGTGGATAAAAGCATGCGAAATCAATGTTTAACAAAGTCAAAATGTTCAATGAGTCAACAGAAGATAATTTTTGCTGATACATTTGAAACCTGAGTCTTTAGATTAATTATACCATCGTTATTGATCTTATTTATGCGACTCAAACTAAATAGACATTATTTCACAGTAATATCCTGTTTAGATTTATCACTTAAAATATTCATATTAAAACTTACAAGAATATACGATATTAAACAACCTAGTAAATATTAAAAGATTAAATATATATTATTTTAGTCGTTTCGCCGAACATATTAACATACAACATGTTTATCGTCGTACTGATATAATTTTATGTTTTTCTTATAAATTGTCAAGTTATTTGTATGTAAAAATACTTCAGTTTATATAAACTGTTAAGAAAATGTGTCTTATTTTATTATATTTTAATCCTTTATTATATCAGAAATTGTTTTTTTAATCTAGAGGGATTGGAGCATGTATGTGAAACCATGGTGTTGCAAGAAAAATATTCAGCAGGTAGTAATAATTATGTAATAATAAAAAATATAATACATGCTAATAAATGCTAAATCCAATACCATTAAATTATGTCATCTTAATTTCAGGGGAAATGAATCGTATGCTCGCTATACCGGGTAAAAAATTGTACTTCAAATTATTATCATATTATTTCGGCATATTTGTTTAATACACTAACTTTAGTACTCACTGTATTTGTTTTAATTTCAGAAATTTCATTTATTCAGAACATACTAGGTATATAACATACATTTATACTGCATATTTGAAATATTTTACACATATTGATTATTTATTAATATGTTGAAATTTAAAATATAATGTATAACATAATGTGTTTTGTTTTGTATTTAAGACAAAAAAAATCAAGAAACCATCATACAAGGAGAAATAAAAGATGCATTAGGTAAATATAAGATTACATAATTGATGGTCACTAAGATTTAAAAAAAAAACGACAAAAATTTCATTCATGTAGTCATATTGGTTTAATATGTTTTTTGTTTAAGCTTTTGATAAATATTTGAAATTTATTTAAAAACGTTAATTTGGATATTGCTATTAGAAATAATTGAATTTTTATTTAAAATTTAGTATATTAATTAACTAGTCTTAGTATTAACGTTTATAGTTAACATATTGGTATTCCTAATACAGGATGTTTCAATAAGAATGGTGGGGTTTCAAAAGGCTGTAGCTTGTATGAAAGAAAGAGTTGTCAAATTTCGATTGACTACCACTAGATGTTTCACAGTCGTATACCCTGTTCACCGAAAGACCAAGCCACGACTCGACGAAAATTGGCCGTTCTGCGCATGCCCGCGTGGCACCCAGTGTGTCTAACTTTCCCCCCGGAGACCGTCCTGTCCGCCAGCCAGTCCTTGGTGGCTGTTTAGTCTTTAGTCTACATGCACAAACCCGGCATGCTCTCTTAGCGAACAGGGTACAACTGTATTACACTTCGCAAACTCGATCACGCAGTACGCCTTCTGTTGTGTGGAGGCCATCTTAACAAACTGAACAATGAAGGCTGGCGACAATAGATTAAGGCCAATTACTTAAAAACTACTAAAACTATTTTTATGTATCTAAGGTACATATCAAGTTTCTGACTAATATTTTAGTGTTTTCGTTATATCTGGCCCCAAACAAATCATAGAGAGTTTGGCACCTTAAATTATTGAATTTATTTTTCATTTATATTTTGAACGTTGTGAACACAAAATATATGCCCCCATTCCCATTACCATCCCGAACACCATTCTTCATCTCTAAACTCCTATCTCTTACTCCCTATCTCTCACCCTTATCACTCACCCCCTCTCACCCTTATCTCGTTTTACGTTATGATAACTGGTGTCGATGTCGGTGTCGACTTTTCCGGTTGTGTTTCAAAGTAAAAATCATATCTCTTACCTCTTATCGCTTTCCCTCATCTCTTATTTCTCTTATCTTATTAGATCTCATAATTTCATTATGGCAACCGGTGTCGATGTCGGGTTTTCCGTTATGATAACCGGGATCGATTTTCCGTGTGTGTGCCAAAGCAAAGACATAAAAATGTCAAAAAACGGGAACGTGGAGAGAAGTCTAGTGGCAGTCATTTGACTTGACAACTCTCTCTTTCATTCAAACCCTACCACAGCACTGTAGATCCAATACTTCACAACCTACAGCCTTTTGAAATCCCACCATTATTTTTGAAACACTCTGTATATTTTATGCTTAAACTTTTAATAAATATTCTAATTATAATTTCATTTTATGTATATTTAGAAGTTGCAATTAGCAATAATTAACATTTTTTTTTAACATTCAGTATATTAATAAATTAGTCTAATTATTATCGGTTGTAATGTGATGGTTTCGGGTAAAACCGAATTTTATTAACTGTACCTATAAATTGTATTTTTATTTTTTGAGAATTGTCTCCTCTTGCAGTTACACAACGAAGTAATTACGCATATTGTTAAGTAGTTAAGGCTTTAAAGTTGTTTAAGAGTTTAAATTTGCTTTATTATTAAAAAATATTTTTGATCAAACAATAATTTTAATAAAATAAACTACTAGTTTGAGAGTGGGAGTATTTGTCAAATTTTTAAAGGAATCAGTACTTTCTTGCAACAGAATAACAAAATTATGAATTAACTTTTTTTATGACTAGATTATTTAGGCTAACGAATGCTCTTGATTCGACAGGAAACACGCAATGCAAGTTATTATTGTTGGCCTGTCGTAACATTCGTCTTGCTACGTTGACGTTACACGTTGTATTCTTGTTATCTCCACTGTTGTGTATACAACTATTTAGTCAATTAATCATGTAACTTATAATGTGTTTTGAATAAAAATATATTTGGATAATTTAGATAGTAAATAAAAATGGAGTTGTGAGTAGTTAAAAAAAAAAAAATTAATTAAAATAAAAAGCAACATGTTATTAATCCGCTCAATCTTAGGGATGCGTTTACGTCGGTCGGACTAACGCGACAAAGTTCCTGGTGAAAAAAAAATAATAATACATAGACGTCTGTAGTTTGTATCCAACTGTGATGAGTATAAGATTCTTTGTACATCAAGTATAAAATTATTACTTTCTTTGAGTTTCAACGCTAATTCTGGCTGTATCAAAATTGTTATAAAATAGTTCTTTGAAATATGATGCTAATTGCACCATATGTATTGCATGTATTAATTAATTAATTTTTTTATATCTCTAGTTTAATTACCCAGTCATTTCATATTTTTTTTGTAGGTGTTACGAATATAACTTGGGAATATCTTAGAAATGAGAGAAGAGAACTTATTGGAAAAGCTTTAAGAAGTATAATTAGCCTGGCATTAGGTAAAATTATATATACAGTTATTATGTGGTTTCGAACATTTTGAAAATTGTTTCGATGATCGCATGTTAAATAAAATATAAAACTTCACGATTTTATGATTGAAACCTTGGGAGCATATAATTTCGAAAAAGTCCAAAATAATGGACGTCCTAATATATTAGATGTATATTTTTCAATAATAAATCTCAGTTTTTTAAATTATTTATAAACTAAAAATAATATAAACATTTTACTGCGAACACAACTTTGAAAACGTTATAAAGACCCCAAAAAGAAGAGTGTATAAGCAACATCACGTTTGAAATACACCTAACGGTCTTTTTATAGTATTGTTATGTATATATACATATGTGTAAAACGCCAAACACGAACGAACGTTTGGAGCGACCCCTAGCAGATTTGTTTGAAAATTACACTTTACGTCTTTTACAATGAAAATTATGATCTCAAATTTGATTGGATTCTTTTACTTTGGCCATGGTCATAAAAGTATTTTTTGCGACCAATGACAAAGAATTTCAAAAATAATTATACATGAGATGTTACATAAGAAATTGATTGTTAATATTTCTTATTATGGCCGAAGATACTAAAAAAAAGATAAGAAAGGATTGTCAAAAAGTTTTAAATAATTTTCACGACCATGGCCAAAACAATCTAACTTCTTATTCATCGTAACAGGCATGTGAGGATTAGTGTTCAAAAAAAAATGTTTGTGGGTTCGTTTCAAACGTTTGTTAAATCGTATTTGGTTTTTTGACTCATATACGAAATTCAACCGTCACGTAAGTATATCACATTCATTAAGACGAGTGATAAGCTTTGATATAAGAGATGAGAGATTAAATATTGAAGTACTAAAGTACCAATAATCTACAAAAGTCCCAGGACCCTTTATCTGTTTATTAAGACATCCATAATCATTTCAATATCAATTTATATTAGGATATCCATGTTTCTATATACTTTTGTGCAGCAGAGGTAGTACCTACTATCAGTCTACACTCTACTGATACATTAACTTTATATTTAAATTAACGTTTGCAGTCTGTCATAATCAAACACTAGGTCAAAGTTTTGTGCACACTAAATGATTTCTAATTTTTTTGTTAAAATTGTTAGTATTTTGTTTGACGTACAGTTATGGTTTTCAGAAAACGACGAAAATAAAGCTTCGGTAACACCGCATATTAATGATAAATTCAGCAAGTTAAGTGTACATGACTCTACTAGACATACTATTATGGAGCTTGGTGGCACTAGTGGAAAAGACAAGACGGAGTTTTTGGAAGATGAAGACGGCGACTGTTGTACGTATCATCTATGTTAAAATTAACGATGAGCCTAATTATTTTTTTTTTAATTAGGCATGACTGAAAACTATGAAGGCCAGAATGATGAAAATTCAGTACCGCTGTGGAGTAAGTTCACTGATAATTAACAATTCTTATAACATTTTAACCACTCGTTTTTTTCTATAAAATATATTTTATAATTACTAAAAGTTTTTTAAAATAATTTCTAAACTAAGAAACAATAATTAATTAAATACTTTTTAGCGAAACTATCAATTTTAATTTTTATAAGCATTCTTTTCAAATAGGAATTTAAAAATTTTTTTTGTAAAATATTTCAGTTAAGGACCTAATTTTACTATATTGTAAAATGAGTTAACTATTTAATAAGCACAATAAACAAATAAATGAGTCTTACGTGTAACTAATATACATTTTTCTGCGAATAAAAGTTCAATGAACAAATAAATGTTTAAGGTTAATTGATAGCTAAAATACATAAAATATATTATCGTTTTACAACTCGATGATTAATGAATTAATCATTTTATATTGCTCGCAAAATTCGTTCAGCTATATTTTTCAATAGAGTTATACATAATATACATAAGTATAAGTATACTTAATGTTTATTATTAACAAAATTATTATTTTAAATAAATTAAAAAATCAAATACCGTTGGTTTTTATATTATATGAGGTATTCATAAATTTGTTAAGAAATTGTATCCCGAATAAATGACTAGTGGCGTTATCTGAAATCATTACACCATAATTAATATCACTTATATGTTTTATGACTTTTAAATACTTTTTATTTTTTTAGATAGAGATACATATCATAAATCAATAGAGATAATGTGCTATTTTATAGCATGGTACTGGAGTATAAAATTTCCAACAACAATGTTAGATTCTATGGCGTTTGAAGATGATATGACTTGTCTCATAACACATTACAAATTTAAATCCGAATGTTTCATGTATAAAAAAATAAATGGTATATGGTACCAAACAGACTACCAGGAAAAAGGTTACCAAGGAAAACCACTTAAGAAACAATTAGACGAGGGACCAACAGATATTCAATTATAAAAATCTATAATACTATTTAGATTATATTTAATTATTATTTTCATTGTTTACTTATATCCAAGCTGTAAACTGATTTAATGTATTTTATAATAAACCGTTTTACTGTATAAATTATAATTACAATTCACATTTGATGGTTTTATGATGATTTAAACAGATAATATATCTATTTACCATATTATAAATTTTCGATTTAAAGCCTTTTTAAAATTAAGTTTTACTAATTCTCTGCATCCACCTGTATATATCGACATTGTATTGCCATTATTGAATTCTAGTAAGTTCTATGTAATTTAGCATTTTATCCATCCATCTCTAGATGCAACTCTTCCAGTCAATTTTACCATTTTTTTTGGATCATTTATTATTAGACACACCATATGTCGTGTCAACCTCCCATCTAACTTATAGACCTTTTAATACGAATTGCTGTGATACACTATTTATATAAGTTTTGCGAACATAGATATTTTATCATTTTACTACTACTGCCTTTTAATATTCCGTTAAAATAAAATTTGCTAGTCTTCTTTTACATCCTCACTCACTACATTAATATGACTAATATAATACAGAAACGTCTTTTGCGCTAAGGTGGAGTGGGCATTTGCTGACACCCATGATAAAAATAATAGACTGCCACATTTTGTGTTGTAGCACTAATAATTAATTTAACAACAAAAACCAAACTGCTCTCCTTATGACGCATAAAATATTTTATTAGAAATGGTAAACTGGCACAAAACCCAAGAGGTAAAAGTATGGTTCTTAAAATCCTATTACTTAATTACCATAACCTCAAATTATGGTGTCTGGCCGAGATTTATAATATAAAACATAGTATCTACGGCAATAATAATTTCAACATATGGGTAACAACGGCAACAGATTGTTGTAAAAAACTATCAAACCTAATCGTAACCACCCTAAAAATAATATGGTTATTATTCACAATTTGAAGAAAAATATAATTTTTAAAATTGTTAAATTTTTTAGCAAGGAATCTATAATACTGATCTTGCTAAGATTGATTAAAAGTTCTATATATTAATGTTATCCTTACTGATACGATAAACTGTCAAACCAATTTATTCGGGATAGTTTAATGAGTCAAATGTCTAAACATTGTATTATATTAAATTTATTTGGTATACGGTCTATTTTTATCAAATTCGGCATAGTCAATGGTAAAGCCGTATAAATGTTATTTCATTTGGGGTTCTCTAATGTAAGCATTAGGGAACGCTATATGAGTGATTGTTAAACCTTAATCCAAGAAAAATATAGTGCAAATTCCGCGTTGGAAAAATGGCACGATGAATCATACACGATGAATCATATTAAACAAAAAATGAACCAGCTGTGTAATTGAAATAGGTGGTACAGTGTAAAAACATAAAATTTGTCTAATAATTCGGTTGAAATACGAACCCATCGACCAAAGTAGGCCATTTTTAAACATTCGATTTTGAAAATCTGAACGAGTTGCTATTGTTGTCTTAGACATTTTAACGGTCCAATAATTGAAGTACGTATAACCATCAAATCACAAAAGTATAATTTATACCGATAGGATTATAAAGTAGGCATGAACCGTTATCGACTTTTTTCCAAATCGATAAAACTACTACAAACATTAGTCGACAAATAAAATAACAATTTCTTTATTCAATTTACTTTTTTTCGAGATATATGTAAGAAAAAACCGATTATCGTAAACGATATAATCAATATCGTGGGTTATTGGATATCGATTCATGTCTATACTCAGCACTTTAAATGAGTTAAATGTTTAGCTTACATAATATTAGTTTACCAAATTATGAGGAAATCTTAAGCGTACTTTAGTGCATTTTATTTTTTATCAGACCATAACGACGTTTTTAAGTGAAGGTTTTGGGTATATTTTTTTAAATTAAAATATAGCTACATACTAAAATAATTGTGATATAGTTGGCCTATGATGCTCTTAATGTAAAACTGTATTTTATGTAATCGAAATTTATTATTCAAAAATGGTTAATAAAAAAATTGTTTTTCATCAACGGTTGTGTAAAAAACAAATTTGAAGTCCAAGTTATTTGACATCTTTAGTAATATATAAAGAAGAAAAAAATTTTAATTACTATTTATACTAGATTTTTTAAAATTATTACAAGTTTAATATAGCTCCTCCTATAGTAGATGTAGAAGCCCTAATTACAATTTTGGCCTAATTAAGTACCATTCAAGTTCGATTTTTATCTTAATAATTAAAATAATAAATTAAGCGATCTAAGAAGTATCGTGGGTCTAGTAAAAAAAAAAAATAATAATCATGATAAAAAAAACAGCCTTGTTATGTCAAAACTGTCTCATCTTTGGTGGCGACTATGACTAATATAAATTGATTTTATGTTCATTGTTACTTACAGATAAAAATGAAGCTTCTCAGTATTTTAATAATATTTGGCATTGTAAATGTTTCGACTAGTGACAGTAATTATTTTCTTTTAACAATAACATGGTTAAGTTTAAAAAAAAAAAATTAATATTTCATTTTTTTTGCAGTGATGTATTTAAGGGAGGTAGTCATTGCAAGTTAGTAACATTTTTCTTTTATAAAAATTGGATTTTTAATTTTTTTAATTTTACTGTACTTATACATTTTTTTTAACTGTGTATTACAGACAAACTCATCGATCAAGCTTTTGAGAAGAATGATTGTTTTGTAGAAGGCAAATTTGTAGGAAGTATGATTTATTTTTAATCAATTTACTTTTATATTTATTTTGTTATAATACACTCTCGAAGGGTAAAATCAGTTAACAAATACATTAAGGAGAATAATTGACAATACATCCCAATAGTAATAATGATAATAAAATCCCTCCGTAGTAATAGAAGCTAATTAATATTTTAATGTAATTGATTTAAGTATCGAGACATTATCATAGGAAAAATAAAAAATAGACCATTCATTAAACGATTCATTAAAGTTCAATCTTTACTCAAAATAACATAAAATAAATGTATCATAGAAAGCTTCTTTCCCCATAACTCTCTTAAAGCAAAATAAGTTCACATTTCTGGCATCAGGGGGCACTGCTGTGGGTCTAGAGGTTTTCCACTAATGCTGTATGATATGGAAAACATGCGTATTGTACTATTGTTTTATGACTTTTTTACAAGACGTAAAATAGCTGTGTCTTGTTACTTGCACAATAAAAAATGTAGTACCTAATTAGTAAGCTAAATTTGGCGAATTATAAAAAAAAAATATTTTGATATTTTTAGATAGACGTACACATGAAGTACCATTCAAGGCGATGTGTCAATGTTTAGCATTGTTCTAAAATACCAAATTTCCAACAACATTTTTATTCGTTACGATTATTGATACTGATAATGATACTGCATGTATCGTTAAAAAAAAGATTAACATAGTTTCAGTACCCGAAGTGTTTGCATTCAGAAAAACTAATGGCATATGGTCTCAAGAACTTAAGAATTTCTTAGGCGAGGAATAACAATGCTATATTTCTTAATAAATAAATTACATTTGTTACAATTGTTCAATTATATCAATACTAATTAAGACTAAAAATCAATGGTATAACTCTACTGAAATGTATTATATTAAAAAGTTATTTTGCTTAAAAAATATTTGCATTGTTCTCACTTATACTCAGGCTGTAAATTGATTTAATTTATTTAATAATAAACCGTTTTACTAACGATTATAGTTATGTTTGTTGAATATGTGTTGATTTACAGATACTTAATATTATTACCATAATATGCAGGACGCAGGTTCAATTTTATGAATTTTGTTAAAAAATAGTTTCACATATCCTCTTAATCAACCTATCTGTATACATTTCTTTGTCATTATTTATTTTTATGAAGTTTTATGCCATCCAGCACTCCATCCATCTATCGCCTAAATGATGCAACTCTTCCAGTTAATTTTACTTTTTTTTCGGATCATTTATCCTTGGACACGATATACGTCATACTAATGTCATACCTAACTCATTTACCTTCTAATTATAATTTCTGTAATCACCAACTCTTTTCTAAATAGGTTTGTATCCAGAAAAAAGATCAGAGCTTTAACAGATAATAAGACCCAGCATATTTACCGAGAATCAAAAGTAAAATATTCTAATATAACTCTTCTAAAATGTTACGTTACTATTGTCATTATATTTCAATTATTTTTACAAGTTGACTAACGAGCTAATTCTTACAATGAATATAAGTACCAAGTACGGAACGTATGTCAACTTGCTAATAGCAAACAGTGTATAAACGCATTTGTTATTTCTGTGTTGTTTTTATTATGACTATTATTGTGTGTAGCTTTATTTTGAACAAAATTAGGTTTTAGTGCCTATATCTATAGATAGGCGCATGTTTAAATTAAGAAACCGCCTAGCCCAGTGTCAAACGGGCGACAGTGTCCACAAGCCACAAACACATTCTATCCTTTCAACTCTTTCATGTGCATACTAGCGGACTGTTACTACCAGACCAGGAATGACAATAGTATAACTCTTATTGAATAAATTATATAATAAAAAATGAATACATGACTTTTTTCTCAAAAATTACACAATTTCATTCATCTATTTTGTCGCAATAAATTGATAAATAAGTTAAGTGTATTTCGTTCCAAAATTTCGGCATAGACAATAGAGGTAAGGCCGTATAAATTGAATTTCGTTTGTGATTCACTAATGTAAACATTAGATATACGAGTTCAACCTAACACCTAGAAAAATGTAGTCCAAACCCGCATCGGAGAAATGGCACTACATGATAATACGTTTTCAGCAAAAATATGAGCCATCTGTGTACATAGTACTATAGGTACACTGTAAAAACATATTATTATTCTAATATTTCGGTTGAAATACTTACCCATCGACAAGTCGTAAGGAGACTATTTTCAAACAGTTAGTTAAAAAAGTTGAACGAGTTATTAGTGTTGTCTTAAAAACTCTAACGGTCCAATTATTTAGGTAAGTATAACTATTAAACTCATACATTGAATATTGGACTTCATTCGGTTCACGCTTATACTCAGCATAAGATATATTTTTATCTTACATATTAGTCTAAAAATCTTGAACAGTAGTTAGGATTTTTTTTAGCACTTTATTTTTATCTGACCGCAACAACGTTGTTGAGCAAACGTTTTTGGTATATTTTTTTCTATCAAAATAAAGCAACTAAAATTGTGATGTAGTCAGTCTATGTTGTTTTAATGCAAATCTGTATTTAATGAGTATTATCAAAAAAAAAAAAGAGAAAGAGATAAGCCGGCACTACCCGTAAAACGACGGTACAGTCCGGTCGTCGGACTTGTTTTGTCGTGCCTTCTGACTTTTTAGTTTATTGTTAAGATTATTGTAGTTTGTTTTTTGTGTTATACGAACAGCTAATAAGCCACGGTGAAACGTGTGATCTTTCTTTTCATAAAAGTCGTGTGCTGAATTATTTTCCTTTAACCTTTTATAAAATTGGTTAAAATATAGTTAACATGAGAGCAAAAGTTATTGTCAGCAAATATGTACGTTAAAATTGTTTTCAACAAAAAAGTAAAAAAACAATATTCTCTATGATTCGGAGGTTGTAAACAATACATGCAGTCTGTTTTCGGTGTACCTATTTGGTGGTCGTGTTAATATAAATACAATCATTGATAGGACTATTATTCTACGCACAAAGATTCCACGAGGAAAGGGGTCTAAGGGGATTCAGCCACTCAGAATTGAATTTGTCCCTCCACATTTTTCCCCACAAAAATTATTTACATTTGTAAAACGATTTATTTTTATAAAATTAGCTATAAAGCATAATAGTAATTTATTTGTGACGTAACCTGTAAAAAAAAAAATAATAAAAAAATTGCATGTTAAAAAAGTTTTTAAATGTATATATATACAGCTTTGTTAAATATCTCTGGTGACGACTATGATTAATAAAAATTGATTTTATGTTTACTATTATTTACAGATAAAAATGAAACTTCTCTGTTTATTATTATTATTCGCCACTGTATATGTTCCGACTATTGAATCAAGTAATTTTTGTTTTTATTATAACAAAATTAGTCAAGTTTTAAACAAATCCAATATTTAATTGTTTTTCAGTGTACATGACGGAGGTGTTCATTACAAGTCAGCAATAATTTTTCTTTTATCAAAAATAGTTTTTATAGTATTTTAATTTTATTGTTCTTATTTATATTTTTTAAAACATGTATAACAGACGACCTCATCAAGCAAGCTTTTATTATGAATAATCGTGTTGTAAAAGGGAAATTTATTGCAAGTACGATTTACTTAAAATTAATTTATTTTTATTTTATTTATAAATGTATATATTTTTTATTACTATAATACACCTTCTAAGGGTAAAATGAGTAAATAGATACAACAATGGAAACAAATAGGGGTAGAAAATAGGGGTAAATGATAGGAGATGGGGGATAAGGGTGAGTGATAGGGGGTAAGAGATAGGGGTGATTGATAGGGTTAAGAGAGAGGGGGTGAGTGATAGGGGTGGGAGAAAGAGGGTGGGAGATAGGGAATGGAGGAAGTGGGTAAGGGATAGGGGTAAGATATAGGAGATAAGAGATATGTTGTACGTTCAACGTTCAAATTAGAACTAAATGATAAAATTCAAAATAGTTTAAGGGCCCAAATTCTCAATGAATTGTTTTAAGCCAAATATTAAACACTACAATATTAGCTAGAAACTTGATGTTTTAATACACTAGCTTGTTACTGCTTCTTAATATACTATATTATTATCTATAATTCCACCACTACTCTAAATTTATTCGGTACTTCAACGAGACATGAAAATGCTCTTTCGTGGTTGCAGACTCGGCTGAAATATATTGTTTTCAAGTTTTGGAAAAAACATTTTCATTACTAAAAAGAAAACAGAAATAAATTCTGTCCTGTTTCTTTTTTTTTTTGTGGTAAATATGTGTATTAATAATTTCAAAAAAATAAGACTTATATTAGACCAAACAAAAATATATGATTTATTTGATTCTCTGATTTTTTGATAAAAATTTAAGAATTTAAAAAATGGTCAAAATGATTTTTCGTGAAAAATAACTTAAACCTCTAATTTTGAGGTAAATATGAGTCATAGAAATTTCAAAAAAATAAAGGTCTTATATTAGAAATTAATCGATTTTAATTATTTAATCATTGAATTTTAAACTATATGATTTTATTTTAATCTTTACATATCACTGAACATTTTTTTTTTTACTTTTTAGATGGATTGGAGCATGTAATTAAAACCGTCGTTTATAATCCTAAATATTTACTAGGTAATAATAACTATATAAGTATAAAAAAAAATAGGATTATGTTTTCTAACAAAAAGAATATTTAAAAATATTATAAAAATTGGAATAATGCAAATTATTATAGTACAGAAAAAAAAGATATTAGATATGCCTATTTTATATAATAATTGTATTTTTTTCTTATCTCCTAATTTGCTTGAGTTCAGCCATAAAATTAAATTTCCATCAATTTTATATAATCACAATTACTATAGTATTTCCGAGTTACTACCTAGTACAGATGTTTTTTCGATCTCAAACCCGCTTTATAATAGAAATTGAATCCAATAATATTATTTTGTGTAATTTTGATTTCAGATTATGTTGAACATATGTTCGTTTTACCAGGTAACAATTTGTTAGTAAAATATGTTCGTACATTTGCTTAATATTCTATAAGTACTCGATGTATTTGTTTTAATTCCAGATATCGCATACCAGGGCAACGTCGAAGGTAACCATTTATCTTAAACATAGTCTTAAACAACAGTTTATTTTGATTCTAATTATAGTATCTGAAGACCTCCATCGCACTTTGAAAAAAATAATTACAGATGAATTAAGTAAATATAAATTGTAACATTTTTAAGGGAGCAATTTTCAAAATGTATGATTACTTAGCTCTAATAAATAAACGACAAAAATATTATTTATTCGTCAGTAAATTTAGCAGTCATAATAATACAATACTTTTTTTCTTTTGATTTTGTTCATTATTGAAAATATAGTCTATAACATTAATTCGTAGCAGACGTTTGTTTAATTTTAAGTACATCAATACATTGGTCGAATTAATATTGGTTTTAGTGAAGTTGTTATAGATAAAACCGAATTTTATTAACTGTATCTATAATAATTTGAAATGTGATATATTCTTATAGAACTTACTGCTCCTAAAGTTCCACGCGAAGGTAATTACGCTTTTTTTGAAAATAGAAAATAGCTTTATGGAATCCGATATACAGATTCATTTATTAGTTTAAGGTTTTAATCCAATCTGTAATATTCTACATCTATTAATGAAATGTATAGGCCATACATCGTTGTTGACATACTTGAGTACGTCTCTTTAGAGTTTTTTGAGTTTCAAGTATGGAATGAATAAATTCTCTGAGTTACAACAGTAATTCTTCGTTGTAAAAATTTAGTGATAATACAGTGTGATTTATAGTGTTTGAAATATAGTGTTCCAGTTGTGTAGCAGCTAGCTAATTTTTTGTATGCAATTTTTTGAAACAGTCGTTCAATAACTTTTGCAGGTTTTCCGGACACTTGGGAACAACTTGGAAACGAGAGAAGAAGTCGTGTTCGAATAGCTTTAAGAAATACAATACTCAAAGAAATAAGTAAATATTTATATACTTAAAAAATCTTCCAAAATTTTGAAAAAAATTGTATAATCGATATTTAAAAAGAAAAGCTCACCCTTTTAGTTTGAAACATAGGTAGTATAATATTTCGAAAAAGACTAAAATAAGGAACACCTTAATCTATCATAATATTACATATACATGTACTACATCTCAGCTTAGGAAATTATTAAGAACCTAAAAAAATGTTTTATATTTTGCCACGACAAGTATTTTTACCAAAATACAGATAACTACCAAGTAACAATGTGGGTTTTAATTTTGTTTGATATTATATGAGAGAGAATAGCTGTCAATTTTTATAAGATATAAATATTGATTTAAAAATGGTGTTGGTGGTATAATAATCGTCAGTAGAATAAGAGGAACAAACAAGCATTTTCTTATAAAAAAAAATTAGAATATTAAAAGATATGAGAAATAAGAGATAAGTGACAAGACATTAGGGATAAAAATTTATAAATGAGATTAACCATCTACCAAAAGTACCAAAAGTCAAACAGTTTGTATATTATGACATATCCATGTTCCTATGGACTTCCGTGCAGCGGAGGTACTAGTATCAGATTAATGATATATTTTCTATACATTTGGTTCTATACCTCCAATCCAGGTATAGGTCTCAGCGCAGTGCACACATGTTACTTCATAATGATTTTGTTAAAATGGTTGTTATTTTAATTAACGTACAATTTATGTGTTTTAGATGGCGAAAGACAGGTTGCTAATGCAGACGAGCTGCAAAAAAGTTACATCGGCGATATTTTTAAATATTTGTTTAATATAACTGCATCATCATCGAGTACGTACATCTTTATTAATATTTAGGAGTTCCGAGCATAAGTTTTCCGAAATATGACAGTTTTTTTAGTTATTAATTGTTTTAAAATATGACTATTAATTTTAAAATTGGATTGGCTGTTTAAAAAATAATTTAAAACAACTACCATTGAATTAATTTAACTATTTGAATGTCAAATTAATAAAAGTATTGTAACTTAATCTTTAATCCTAATCACAAATATTTAGGGTTAAACAAAGTTTTCTTATTCTACTTAAATCTATACGCAAAACAATTTGTTATATTTGCAGTTCACATTATTAATACTACAATATATCAAGGATAGAAAAAAAACCTACAAATAATTTTAATTGTCAACTATTTTTGAAAAAAATAAAACAATTATAATAAAAACTTTTAACTACTAAAATATAACTTTTCTTTATTGTAAAATGAGTAATTTGTTAAATTCTGGCATATTAAGCAAACAAATAAGGCATCTGGGAATTTAATATAATATGTTCAACAAATAAATTTTAAAGAACAAATAAGCATTATCATGGTTTATTATTTAAAAAATGATTTGAATTTTTATATAATTACAAGCTGTCCGGACAATCCGGCGTTGCTCGAGATTTAGTCTGCCAAGGCTGAGTAAAATAATTCCCATTCCCCATTCCCTCCCCCATCCCCACCATCGTCACCTACCATTTGCACGAGTACCGTGGTTACCATGGTTACAAATCAAGTGTTTATTCTGGGTTACTATGATTACCAACATTTAATTTATTTACATTTGGTATTTTAAGTACAAAGTTCGTGTTCGAGGTCATCCTTAAGGGTGAAATAACTTCCCAAAGTTTCATAGCGATCGGATGAATGGTGTACTAATACATAAAGGACAAACAGACAAACATAAATTCATTTTTATATAAATATTTAAAGTTATAAAAAATAGAATATGTTCAACTCGTGTATCTCGACATGTGGGAAACTATCAATTACTATTGTTTTGTATTTTGTATGAGATATTCAAAAATTTGTTGGGAAAATGTAATTCAAAAGAATGACTCAAAGTCTTATCTTAAGTTACTTTCCTCTTCTATTTTAGCCGCACAACCAGAAATAAATGGAAACTCTATTGGAAGAGACGGCGAACAACAATCGAGTGAGTCGAGTAAGAACACAATAATTATTATCACTTACTTTAATCTACAATTGTTTCTAAATTTGAACCACTTATTTTTAAATGATAACACCGATTAGAAGGTTGGACTAAGGCTATGCATTTCATCCCCATCCCCTCAGTCTGCATTGTTTTTATTTCAAATAACATGATATTAATGTATAATATAATGATTATTTACTTCTGATTCCCTTGAAGCCAAATTAGGTCATTTTTCTACCACCAGGGGGCGCTGCATGGGGTCTAGGGTGCTCCACCTAAAATGCTATATAATAAGAACTGTATGCATACTGTAACAGATATTCAAAAATTCGTAGGGAAATTGCACTTAAAAAAAATGACTCTTATCATGAAATATTTCCCTCTTTTGTTTTAGTCGAACCACCACCGTATGATGATACACATGACATGCCATTAGGAATAATGTGTAAATTCATAGCATTGTTCATAAATACAAAAAGTCGAACATTATTTATATTCGCTTTTCCGAATATGCCTGGTACTAATCGTAACAGTTGTACCATAAGACAAAAGAGGAACAGAGATTCATATCCCAGAGAAGTCACGTACAGAAAAATTAATGGTGTATGGAGCCAAGAACTTAAGACGTTATTATACGAGACATAACATTTGTATAACTCTTAATAAATAAGCTACATAGTACTATTTTTTGATTATATTTAAATTATATTTGGGTTCCGGAATTATATATCCAAGCAGTAAAATTATTTATTATATTTCCTAATAAACAGTGTATTACTCTTGTCAATTTAACAACTTTTTGGATATTTTTTTTCTACCTGCCTTACGTTGTGTTCTGTTCAATTAATTTTTCCATTCTATTTTTGGATTTTTATCTCTATGTAGTTTTGAAGTCTGTTCCTACAATGGCCTACTATGGCTCTTTGAATCTGGATTTTTTCTCAAAAATAACAAGATTTTGTTCATATTTTTTTGTCACAGCAAATTGATGATTTCATGTAATAATGCATAAAAAAACATAAGCAGTTTTGATAGGTGTATAAGTAAGTATACATAATAATATCTTTGTTCGGTATTAAATATAGATTGAATTTCAAACCATATAGTTTTTTTTGAAAACTATCACTAACTAAAATGTATGGAATTTTACGGAAAACTTATTTATTAATTTATAGTTAAAAATGTTGATGTAAACACAAGGTCAGAATGAAACAAAAAGAAATTATCCTTTACTTTTTGTACACAGTTTTTCATGATTTTTTTAAATTTTTACATTATAAAGTACCATTTAGGTATGATTTATAATCTATAGACTTTCTACACGAAGAAATCCATTCGGGGGCTCCAAATATATTGTAGGTCTAGACACAGAAATTAAAAATTAAAAGTACAGTTTTATACTTTTTAAGAAAATCTATTAAATATACAATTTTGTTTGTGTTTGAATAAATAATTGCTTATAAATTGTTATTTAAACTAATTAAAATAAATAATTTAATAAAAAATTAAGCCCACTGAGACATTGAGTAGATCCCATTAAAATGATCACTCTGTATATTTTAAAATGTAAAAACGTATACGTCTTATACAATATGTTGATGTATACAATTTTTATACATTCAATATACGTTCAAAAAATCACCTGTTAATGTAAAACATAACCGTTCATATTATTAGGTTTAAACTTAAGCGTTAAATGCAAACAAATATTTGTAATTATATCAAATTATGTTTAATAGCGATTATAGCTAAGTGTAACATAGGTAAATTATTTTATAAAAAATATTTATAATTAGACCTATAGGTGAATTTGCTATAATTATTGTAACATCAAGGTTTTACCGTGCAAGAAATAAAATAGGTCAAAAACATAAAATATACAAATAGAACTGCAAAACAGAATATTTTAAGAAAACATCGCGTTTACAATGAAAAATACAATAATAAAACGATAAAAAAAATTGTTTGTTTTTATAATAGTTTCGATATTGTTAAGGCTCTTGTACAGCATTTGTAATTCGTTTACACTGCAAAACAATCATTGTGAAAAACTTGTGTATTTTATGAAACCAAACGTTACGTTTGGCAAAAAAAACCTTGCCCCTTTGAATATCTTGAAGAGCACTGCCGAACTCCTTGACGTGCCCTAACCTAACTTAACCCTCACACCTTATTTGTGACATTTGCACATCTAGAGGAACATGTAAAATTCTATGTAAAACATAGATTGTGCTTTTGCTCGTGACAATCTACCTCCCTTATAGTACTATTAACAATTCAATAGTTAGATATTATCTAACCTATACCCACAGTATCATAGTTTCGTTTTCTGACCTTTGCAACTGTTTCAGTAGTTTTGTAATAATTTGTAATAATCTATAGTATAATATATCAACAAAGAAAAAAAAAGGAATAGGAGCTTTATCATATTATTAATGTTACTTCACCCCTTTAGTCAAAGAACTACATGCAGAGCCATTATAAGTTCAGTACTTAGTATTCTATGCATTCAACATGCGTTGTAAATTAGATTTCAACCGTATGTTTACACAAAAGTTAACGATGTATTTTCTTACGTTACAATATAACAGGATTTTTCAACAATATTTATAGTTTTTTTTCTTATCGAAAACAAGTTGTTTTTCACAAAAACTGATGCATTATAAATTAATGAAAAACAACTGTAGGTACCAGTTGCCAGTTGGGTATAATACATTTTTAACATTATACATTACAAAAACTACTACCTATTACAGAACTATTTTTTTTTTTCGAAAACAAGTTAGTTTTACAATTATAGTGTTATATTATCATTTGTATGTAGAACCTTGTAGCCACTAACCACAGTAAAAATACTCAAAATAACAAAAAATCCTAATAATATTTGTTATAATTATTGTAACATCAAGTATCTATCGTGCAAGACAAAAAATAGGTAAAAAATTGGAATACAAATACAACTGCAAAACAAAATGTTTTAAGAAAAACAACTCATTATCGATGATAAAAAAAAAAAAAACTATAAAAATGTTTTTGTAAGATATGAAGATTATTGTAATATTCAAAGTTTGTGGTACCTGCAAGAATGTATCATTTGTTTGTACTACAACAGTCGCTGTGGATAAAACTTGTGTTGATAAAAAAACAACACCTAATAAAACGATAAATAATGTTTTTTTGTTATTTGTAATTTGCTTAGATTGCAACAACAATCATTGTGAACAAATAATGTACTATATGATACCAAACGTTATGTTTTGGTAAGATAAAAACGTCGGCCCGAAAATTCTATGTAAAACATAGAATATGCTTTTGCTTATGTCAACCTACATTCTTCATAACACTATTTATAATTTAATAGTTAGAAATTATCGAATCTATACATTGGTTTTCCTGAACATTTTTTAGCCACTATCATATTATTATATACGTTTTTCAAATTTAAGTATTGTATTAAATTTTAATAATTGTAGTCATTGAAACATTTTAGTAGTATCATTATGATATCATTTTTAAACAAATATCATCTGGCTGTGTTTATTGTTCCAAAATTTCGACACAGTTAATAGCAAGACCATATAAATTCAACGCCATTTGCAATTCTATAATGTAAACATTTAAGATATATAAGCGATTTTTAAACCTAAATTAATAAAAACATTGTCTAAACTCCTAGTCGGTGGAATATCTGTTCATTACAAACCATATTTAACAAAAAATAAACCAGTTGTGTACATAAAACTGGTACACTCTAAAAACCTGTAATATTTCGGTCGAAATCTGTACCCATCTTCGGGTCGTAAGTAAACCATTTTCAAACAGTTAGCTTAAAAAACTGAACGTCAAGTTACTTGTGTTGTCTTAGAAATTTTAACGGTCCAGTAATTTATTTAAGTAAGTCTAGCTTTCAAAATTCTATCCAACTATCAAACTAAATTCAATTTTTCGCTTAAACATTAGCCTACATTATTGTGTGTAAAAATCTTGGGCAAAAACTAGGATTCTTATTTTTATTCTGACTACTTTTATCAGACCGGTACAACGTTTTCAAGCAATCTTTTTTGTTGAATTTTTTTCATCAGAATATAGTTACTAAAATAATTGTTATGTAGTCAGTCTGTGATGCTTTTGAAATTTTATTTTAGGTAACCGAAAGTTAAAATGTTTAAAAATGGTTATGACCAAATGGTTAGGAGCCAACATTTAGTTAAACAAGCTAATTGAACTGATTATTTTCTTAAAAGTTTTATCATTTCAATAGTTCAAATGGTTAAATACATTTTAACTATGCTTTTAATCAGATTTAAGTTAGTAAAAATATTTTTGCTTTAATGCGTATTCAAGGTAGAAATTAAAAGTTATTTTATATCTTCAATAATAGATAATGCAAAAACAAATTAATAAATAGGTATTTATATTAGATTTTTGGCCCAGTTGTTCGTCGCCTTAACAAGTATTATACGAGTTCCACATACAAGACGGTGTAGCCTTAAAAGGCACTAAGAATATTTGAAGAGTGAAAGTGTCAAACGTTCCAAGTGCCAAAGTATAAAAATTGTACTTTATAATTTGATTTGTATTTTATTCATTACCAGAAACAATTTTGTAAATTTTTCAAGTAAAGAATAGTTACTTATAAAAAAAACAATCATATTTAAAACTCAAAAATAATGAATAAAATACAAATCAAGTTATAAAGTTCAATTTTTATACTTTGGCACTTGGAACGTTTGACACTTTCACTCTTCATTTAATCATAGTCGCCATCCACAATGGCTGATAGTCTGTCGAGGAGCTATCGCGATCATGGCGACCATGACTAATTAAAATTGATTTTATGTTTATTATTATTTACAGATAAAAATGAAACTTTTGTGTTTCTTACTATCAATTTTCATTGTAAATGTTTGGTCAAATGGCAAAAGTAATGATTTTAAACAATAACATTATTAAGACATTTTAAAAAAAAATTCAATATTTCACTTTTTTTATAGTGAAGCTTAAGAGGGAGATAATCATTGCAGGTCAGTAACATTATTCTTTTATAAAAAAAATAGCCTCTTATTTTTTTAATTTTACCGTCGTTATACATTTCTTAAATTATGTATTACAGACAAACTCATCCAGCAGGCCATTAATATGAATGATTTTTTTGTAGAAGATAAATTTATAGCAAGTAAGATTTATTTTGAATTAATTACATGTATATGTAAGTTTATTTATTTTATACACACTTAAAGGATAAAATTATTAAACAGATACAACAATGAAAATAACTGTTATGAAAATAAGTTCAATCAATTTAGATTTAGAAGCCGTTTAATAACGTTTTGATAATACAAGTTATAACATAATAAATACTTACTATCATTATAAAAAAGCACAACTATTATTTACTTTATTTAAACTGTAAGGCGTTTTCCTTTGGGTAGTTGTTAGTTTTTTTCATCAAATAACTTACAAGAACAATGACTTCGTTATAAGTAGATAGTTCTACTTATATCAGATCAGGCTTAGTATTAAATTCACCCAAACTTCTTACTTTAGTGGGTACGAATTGGAGGTTAATAGATTTAGGTAAATCATTACTCCGGTACTATCATTAGATTCATCCAAATTAGCAAGGACATTAAATATTACTAGATTTGTTTGTATATGTAATCTTCCTTGGGTTTCATTGACTAACTAAAATTTTAGTTGCCTGGTCCAACATGGGCTCGATTCAAGTGTGGCAAGTCTAACCTTTTAAGAATCTATTACCGCTAACCACGTGGAATTAAACTCTTTAAGATTAAAAAATATCACTACTTAGCATAATTTTATTTTTTTCTAAACATTTGTATGTATATATATTTTGTGTATATATTTATTTTATTCTTTTATTGTAGCTAAAATATGTATTTTTTTGTTCTAGATGGATTGGAGCATGTAATTAAAGCCGTCGTTTTTAAAGATAAATATTCACTAGGTAGTAATAATTATATAACAATAAAAAAAATAAGATAATGTTTTATAGTAGAAAAGAATATTTAAATATATTATAAACATTGGAATAACACAAATGCATCTAAAAACAAGTTTATCTTTTATATAAATCATACATTTTTATAAAAAATTTAAATAAAATCTTTATGTAATAAAATAACGAAAGTTATGCCTACTTTACCTAATAATTATATTTTTTTCTTATTACCACGTTTACGTTTACAATTCAGCCATAAAATTTAGAAACACCGTCTATTTTATATTATCGTGGAAATTGCATTATTTCCAAGTAACTAGAACAGAGGTTTTTTCTATCTCAAACTCTATACTTCATTTTGTAATAGAATTGGAGATTAAATCCAATACCATTAATTTATATAATGTTGATTTCAGGTTATTTGAATCATATGTTCGTTACACCGGGTAATAATTTTAATTGCATATTATGGACATATTTCCGCACAGTTTTTTAATATTTTTTAAGGACCTATTCAAAGTATTTGTGTTAATTTCAGAGTGTCTATACCATAACAATATAGAAGGTAACCATACATTTATAATTCACAGTTAAAATATCTTACACAGATTCATGATTTAAAAACATGTTGGGAATAATATTATTTTATAACAGATAATATTAGTTTCAATCATAAAAAAAGATATACCTACATTAAAATGTATTTTGTTTTGAATTTTAGAATCTGAAACCATTCAACGCACATTGCAAAATGAAATAAAAGAAGAATTAAGTAAATATAAAATTTAAAATTAAGGCAGTAATTAAATGGTTACTAAGCTCTAAAGAAAAAACGATAAAAATTAAATTTAAGCAGTTTCAACAATAGAATATCTTTTTTTCTTAAGAAGTTATTATGAAGATAAAACCAAATATTATTATCTATACCCATAATGATTTAATGTTTGATCTATATTGTTATAGAAATTGCTGCTCCTGAAGTTTTACCCAAAGGTAATAATGCATTATGTTAATTTCGTTAATAGCTTAAAGTGTTATTTATTTTTAGTTGAAATTCGCTCTTGTGTAGTGTACATTTTTCTGTTTTTTTTTTTAGTTTCGGATGCTCTAATTTGTAGGTCACACCATAAATATATTTTCCGTCTAATTAGTGTTGCCTTTAATGTTAATGTGCAATAAGTTCTTTGAGTTTCCAGTAGAAAATGAATACTTTCTCTGAGTTCCAACACTAATTTCTGTTTTTTTTTTTTAATTTGTTATAATACAGTTCTTTAAAATATAGTGCAGTTGTGTAGTTTATTTCTTATAACTATTTTTTTTAATTTTTGCAGATCTTAACGACTTAGGTTTTAAAAATCTTGGAGAAAATAGAAGAAATCTCACTGGAAAAGCATTAAGAAAGATAATTATCCACATAATAAGTAAATACAGTCGTCATAGCGGATCTGAAAATATTGAAACATTTTTCGATAATAGCATGTCGTTATTTAAATGCAATACTACACCATTTTAGTTTGAAACTATAAGAGCAACACATTTCAAATAAGTCCAAGAAATCTCTTAGTTTTCGAAATATCTAACATCTTCGGACATAAAAAAAAAAAAATTGTATTATGTAAATTGTATCAGCTTTCTGAAAAAAGTATTGATTAACCTTTGACAATGAAATTTAGTTTATAATTTCAAAAGTTTTTTGTGCTGCCCAGAATTATAATACATACATATATATATATAGAGATTATATTCCTTAAAGAAACAACATTTTATCCTATTTTATTCAAATTTTTAAAACAATTTTTAATAACTGCGAACGTCTGTATGCCGAAACATGTTTGTTTTCTTAGTCGTTATTTAAAAATACAAATAATAATTTCTAAATACAGTTTAACGTACAGTTATGGGTTTCAGGCCTGGAAAGCAAGGTTTCGGTGCCACCAAATCTTGTTGTGGACTTCAGCAATTTAAGTACAAATGACCCTACTGGACATAATAATTCGGACCTTAGTGCCGCTCCTACGAAAGAAAAATCGGAGTTAAATGACGATGGAGACGACGGTTATTGTACGTATCATTTATGTTAAAATTAACTACGAATCTAATTTAATTTTTTTATAATTAGGCATAGTTGAACGCTGTGAAGCCCAAGATGATGAAAAGTCTGCACTACCATCGAGTAAGTACATGATTATTATCACTAACAATAATTAACAAACCTTATTAAATTTTAACCACTGGTTTTTTTCTATGAAATGTATTTTATATTTTACTACACATTTTCTGAGGTGATTTAAAAAAAAAGTAACATTACACACAATACTACACTAAAAACTATATAATAATAAAAGAAAATATTATTTTGAATGTTACAAGCATTTTTTTTCGAAAAAGATTTCCGAAAAAATAAAACCATTTAATAAATACTTTTAATTAGCAAAATATTTTATTTATGAAGCATAACTTAATTGTAAAATGAGTAAACTGTTCAATTCAAGTACAACAAACTAAATAAGTCTTACGGTGGTTAATATATAATGATCTGCGAATAAAATTTCAATAAATAAATAAGCACTATCATTGTTTATTATTAATAAAATTATTTAAATGTCTATACAATTATTGTGAGCAGTACACAAGTATATTATTTAACCTAAAGCAACAAATATTAAAAATGATTAAAAATAGAGTACGTTCAACTCATTTACTTCGTCATGTGTGATAACATCACTTACTATTGTTTTGTATATTGTAAAAGATATTCAAAAATTTGATAGGAAATTACATTTACAAAAAAATTACTAAAAGTCTTATTTTATATCACTTTCTTCTATTATTTTAGTCGGACAATCAGAAAAAATTGAACTTATTGAAAACTATGTTGGACACGACAGCGTACAACAATCAAGTGAAGCCAGTAATAATAATTATTATCATTTACTGTAATATACCATTGTTTCTAAAGTTTAACCACTTTTTTTAAAATGATTTTACCAGTTAGAAGGTGGGACTAATGCTAGGCATTTCAACCTCTCCTCCTCCCCTAGCCTGCATTGTCTATTAATTTATAATAGCACGCTTCTTCTTAGAAGGCCAAATTAATTCACTTTTTTGCCACCAAGACTATTTTAACCACTGGTTGTTTTCCAAGAAATATATTTTATATTTTATTTCACGTTTTCTTAACTAGTTTAAACACGACGAGCCTAATTTAATTTTTTTCAAAATAGAAGTTATTGAACATTGTGACGACCTAGACGATGAAAAGTCTGCACAACCATCAAGTAAGTACATGATTATTATCACTAACAATAATTATCAAACCTTAGTAAATTATAACCACTGGTTTTTTTCTATGAAATTTATTTTATATTTTTTTACTTTTTCTAAACAAATTAAAAAAAAAAATTATATTACAATAAAAGAAACTATTATTTTGAATGTCACAAGCATTAATTTTCAAATATTTAATTGGCAAAATACTTTATTTGTGAACATAACTTTATTGTAAAATTAGTAAACTGTTCCATTCAAGCACAACAAACATATAAATAAGTCTTACGGTAATTAATATAAAATGATCAGCGAATAAAAGTTCAATGAACAAATAAGCAATATCATTGTTTATTATTTAGCCCAAAGTCTTATATCAAATCACTTTCCTTTTTTATTTTAGTCGAACGACTAGAAATAATTGAAAACTATATTGGAAAAGACGTCGTACAACAATCGAGTGAGTCGAGTAAGTACACAATAATTATTATCACTTACTGTAATATACAATTGCGTCTAAATTTTAACCAATTTTTTTAAATGATATCACAGCTTAGAAGGTGAGACTGTGGTTAGGCATTTCGTCCCCTCACCCTCATTTTACACTGCATTGTTTATGTAAAAATAACATGAAGTTTATGTATAATAGAAAGCTTCTTTACCCCTGACTCCCTTGAATAGTAATTAGTTCACTTTTTTGCCCCCAAGAAGCACTGCTGGGGGTCTAGGTTGCCCCCTTTACTAATACTATTCAATAAGGACAACATGTATATTGTACTATTATGACTTTTTTTACAAGGAATGTAAATGTGTCTTGCGCTGTAAAGAAAGTTAGTAATTTTTAGAAATCTGAATTTGGCGAATTAAATTAAAAACAATTTTTTTTTTTAGATAGGAGTATACACGAAGTGCCATTAGAGATGATGTGTGAACTTATAGCATTGCTCTCGTGTACAAAATTTCCAACATTAAATTTGTTCGCTTTTGCTGATGAAAACCTTAAAACTTGTACTATAGAAAATAGTAAATCAGTACCCGATAAAATTACGTACAGACAAATTGATGGCATATGGTGCCAAGAACTCAAGAAGTTATTAACACAGGAATAACAATTGTATAACTCTTAATAAATAAATTACGTAATACTATTGTTATTATATTTGAATATTATATGCGTTATTTAACTTTATCCAAGATGTAAACTGATTTAATGCACTTCATAATAAACCGTTTGTCTCACGATTATAATCACATTTGTTGCTATGTATTTATTTAAACACATACTTAATGTATTTACCGTAGTATACAGGTTCGATTATATAAGCATTCAAAAAAAATAATAATAATAATAATAGGCGTGCGCTGACATTTTATAAATGAGTTGTGCTTTTTAAGTAAATGATCATCTATAATAGCTTCACGGATAAACAAAACAATTTTTTTGCATTTTATAAGCAAATAAACCTTTGTATATATTCACTGGCCAATTCAAAAATACTTAATCTTTATGAATTATTCATAATCTTAAAGGTACAGATTAGTTTTTCTTTCACTTACAAACCGGCCATAATATATGAAGTTTTGAAAAAAGGAGCGAGAGCTCTACAAATCCTCTGCTGTGACTTCCCAATGTAGTACTTTACTTCATTGTACATACATATTTCATTGCAGAAATTTAAAAAAAGAAACCAAAGCAAATACTTAATGATATTGGAGCAAAAATCGAACGCATCTGGTACATCTCGTTATTGGTTGTTGGTATTTTTATTTAAAGCGATACTGATCCGTTTTAAATTTCCATTGTTCTCACTAATATGATTTAAAGCCCAAATTACCGCACTCGTGTACTGCGGCGAGACAAAGAGTAATCCATATTGATGTTTACTGATTATTATTTTCCAAACGCAGCTTAACTATTTTTATACAAATACGTGTCTCGAGCCAAGCACGTTTCTTGTAATTGCAAAGTTTTTTTTAGCACTGGCGTTTAGATCTTTATCTAAACGCTTTTATCGCGACTTTTCGCGGTTATTTTTATTCTATCTAGGTAATAGTAATTTGTAAGTTTAATGTAAAAACACAATCACTAATCAGATACCATAAGAAACGTGCATCCGCCGAGACAAGTTTTAAAATTTGTGACGGCGCCTTTTTAATGTTGAAACAGTAAAGTCGCTGGGCCATAAACGTGAGGACATCAAATAGTCAGGCGTCTCTAAAACTGCAAAAACCTATAAAAACTGAACCGATAAATGTTAAAAAAAAAAAAAAATTGACCAACACAAACCGTGTAATGTTCGATCGTTGCGGTACGTACAAACACAATAGTAATAAAAATTTGCGGGGAAAAGAATAGCTATACAGACAAAACGGCGACAGGTTACGTTATTATTTTTTTTTGTCTCTAAAAAATATCATAGCGCCAGTAAAAAAATTCAACACGGTCAGTAGGTATCGAACGACGCGCATAAAAATACCGAAGTTACTGCGAAAACCGTAAAGAAGTCAATAGAGTTGAACGGAATTTATTTTAATATTCTATAATATAGTCTGCAATAAATGTACATAGTGTACACTACACGAGTAAACAGGAGACGGGTCTGGCGAGCAATGGCCCTATTAGTATATTCGATCGGAAAGAAATGTAGATCGTAAAAAGTATACGAAGTAATATATTATCTTAAATTTATAGTATTTCAAAAAGACATTGGTAAATGAAACAGTAGAGTATAATAAAATATGGTCGGATGTGCTCGAAAAAGACAACAGGTATGTTGTGTCACCAAAAGGTACCAATGTATTCCTGTTGCAAACATTTGGCAGTACAGTCTTAATACGGTTAAAGTGTCAATTATTAGTAAAATACCTTTTAGAGAAAATGAATAATAAAAAAAAATTATATAATATAGTTATAATAATTCGATTATTATATAATGAGTTAATTTTAATCAAACGAGTAAAATACAATGTTTTTATTGACGCTTTTTAAGCAACAACCGTAACTATATAAACCTGTATCGTTTTCATAAAAACGCTAAGTGATTAGTGAATACATAATTTAGTTTAGTTTTCGAGATAAAATGTGAAAACAACACAATATTTTATTCAACATACTACATACACGAGAGAAGTAAATATTTTCAGGTAGGAGATGTACAAAGGAATGAACAATTAGTAGTAGAATTTGTACCTCTCGAAAATGATGCTTAACAATTTAAAGACAGCATACCAAAAGTAGCTCAATTTCAAAGGTCAACCCTTTTCATGGACGGCCCGTACAAATTCACAATATAAGCATTAAATGGATTGACATGCCGAATTTAAGTTCTGTTAACTTGCTAACGCAGATACCAGTTGCATGTCCATCTTATCGAGCCATACCGGAGCCAAGACAGTGACTAGCCATAAAAATAAATGAATCGACATCTACCGAACGTCTTCTGCCTAGTCCTAAGGCAGACCATTGTCGAGTCACTCATGTTACTCTGCGCGTATCCCTATTGAGATAATAGCTTAATAGTAAAAAGAAAAATTCATTATCATTATGAATACCTAATAATATAATATTATGCACTGCACGCTTGTGAGTTGTGTGCATGTTTTCATGTTCCCCGTACAGGGTTGCTGTGTAGACCGACGGACAAAGCCGGGAAGTCAGTGAGGATTTTTTTTTTTTGTTTTTCATCTAAGTGATCCTAATTTAGCGTTTCACACCGCTTTGGTAGATTGATGGGAACCCGGTGTCGTCCGGACACGCGTTCACAACAATATTATAATTAAGCCAGAGCACTGTGGACGAGGCGACGCCACGCTGCCACGCCGTCGTCTTGTGTGTGTACGGGTAATTATAAAATATATAATATTCGAAAGGGGCTAAGAACACGTGCTAAGGGCAAGTGTGTGTGTGTGTGTGTATGTGTATATCGTGTAGTGGTAATTAAAAAACGAGAAATTGTTTTCGACGCGGTCACAGCGAAAAGATTGTGTATGTCAATGTCGATTTCCGGTGCAATATGTTTGCCGGCGCCGTTTATGGACTATTTAAATAAACCATTAAGCTTGGCTGCACGGTGTCAAAAAAAAAAAAAGAATATATATAATTAAAAAATATTTCTTTACTGCTTGCTGTCTCAAGTCTTGGTGCTTCTTACTGCTTCACATACATCACATCGACCGACAGAGTTGAAGCGGTGACATGTGTTCTCCGACAAGCAAAACAATTTCAAATAATAATAATATATTTCCAATTTTTGCAGCCGTGAAAATATGATACATGTATAAGGAAAGGCCTGTGTTCCGGTAGGACTATGCTATTATCATAATATAGTTACAGCCGAAAAACTGTACTTAAGCACCGAAGCTATTTTGAATTGAACCCGGAAACTCTTTTCGTGCCAGTGGGCAGTGAACTTTTCCCCGGTGTAGCGTGGGGATATAAAATATGTGGAGTGAAAAAAGGTCTTATTTTAAAGTCCCTTTTCGATCAAAATGTAAAGTAACATTTAGATTTATCGAAAGGTAATCAAATCAAAAACGACGCAATTGATTTCAATGCAAATTCACAAAATCATAAAGTCACAGATATCATTTTTATTGATAAAAATTATGAAACATTTTTTGTTAATCACTTTTTTTTTTAGAATTATTTCATTTTTTTTAGTTGACTAAAACGATTTTTCCATCAAATAACAATACAATTACACGCTCTGTAAAATTATTACTATTTTTTTTTTATAAAAACTGTAGACAAATGGCAGGCTTATGAAGTGCAAAATTCTTAGAGATTTATTTTACCGATCTTGCAATATAAGTTTCTTATGTACCTAGTTTTGTTTTTTTTCTCGCATATTTGAGAGTTAAAATGTGCAATATTATTTTGCTCTAATTGCTGTGCTTATGTTGTTTCAACGCTCTACAAACGATTTGTGCACTTAATCATATTATAATGTAATTATCCTTTGGTGTATAAATTGACGTTTATTGAGCACGACCGTTGCTCGCTTCTGTTGTTAAATATAAATATATAGGTTCACGTTTTTACGTTATACCTTGATTCAATTATTAAGTGAAAACCATACACGGGTATTAACATTAAAGTATTAGTGTGAAAAAAGACCCTATTTTTTTACATTGTTGATTTTATAGCACAGCAATAATGGCCGTTAATTAAAAATAAACTCAACGAATTTTACATATTTTTTGTATCAGTTTAAATTTAGAAAATAGTATTCTTTTTTTTGTTATCTCACTTCCTTTGTACGAAAATTCTTGAGATGCTTAAGATTTAATTTAAAAATTCTAAAACTTTAATACTATATTGTATCATTGCGTTCATTATTGTACATTGTTTAGTACTTCAAATTTTGCTTTTATTTAGACTATGCATTTTATAATATTAATATAAGCCAGTTCTACCTTTTTTTCTTTTAATTTAACCATTTTTATTAATATAGGTAATAATATTACAGTAATATTTTACGTTGTTTCTTTTAGTTATTGTTATAGTATCAGTACTAAAAATAATAATTTGAAATGCCATTTTTCGTTGTCTACACAGTGTCGTTCAGCCGGTTGAGTTGACTCTTTTGGATTCTCCCATAATGAGTTTTATTTTAAATTTACTACTTTACACATTCCAATACGAATATTAGTACTTGGACCGTAGTTGCTATTTTAGAGGTCGAGGTGATTATTATTATTTAAACACTATTTTATGTTGGTAATCCATCGCGATGACATCAGCCAACATCTTGCCGTCAACCGATTGACTGACGTTCAAAAGCTCTATCGTTACGTTATGAAATTCCCTTAAGCTATTTCGGGTGCAAATATTTGATATCGACTATAATATATTATTATTATAATAGTGGCTGTTGCACGAATGTGTCTCTGATAATGAATCCTACATTCCTGTTGTACCGGTATCGTAAACACCAGACGAATCTTTGCCGTTCTCATTAGAGGTTGCACGCCACGATAATACATTATTATTATTATTACATTATATATTAAATAAGATTCCGGCGAACTCGGCGTACATTTTATACACTCATTACATATTATTATATCGTGTGTTTGGGTCTTTTTAAAAACGCTTAGGTACCTACTACTTTTTTTAAGATCAGCAATGGTTTACCTGTGTTGTTATAACGCGTTGTTTTACATTTTTTTTTTTTGTTTTTTTTTCCA